GTACGTGGTTTACAACCCATCAAATAAAGCTTCTTAACTTCATTTGCTATCTTTATTTTTCAAGCCCTAATGTTGCAATAATTGTTTTTTCTTTGAAATATTGACTTTGATAATCATTATGTTGACTACTTTATTGACAAGTTGATTGATGGTTTTGGCAAAAACATCTGGGCCCTAATTAACATCACTATAAAATCTTGTTTGGGATTTTTTTTCACATCTACGTCTTTGATAAAACATTGCAACTTTAACAACTCATTATAAATATCTATAAGAATAAAGCAAAGATTGCAAAACTTGTAAACATACAAATCCATAAATAAAGTATTTACATGATTTTTAATAACTAGTTCACAAAATCAACTTCTTAAAATTTTTTGATAAATAAAGCATTAAAAGCCACACCAGGGATTTAGATTAGGTTTGATATACTCTAAATTAGTCATAGAGAAATCATCCTTGCAAGATTAATAAGTTTCCCATGACTTTAATAAACTATTAACCTTCTATTGATATGTTAAACATGCCAAGAACTATTGTATTATAGAATGGAAATCATCACTACATTGTAACAATTAATAATGATAAATATGTGATTGATTCATACCTATGTGAAGTAAGATATCTTTGATAAGATTTAAAGAATTCTTTATCTCTTGACATTACTCCAAACCTCAATAAATTAGTGTTTATACTCCTTGACATCACCATCAAGTGTTTTTTCCTTGTTACAGTAGTTATTCCTGATGTTATATTCTTTAGGATCAATATCACACTCTTTTGCCATCCAAAAAAAATACCAATACATGAGCTTGAATATAGTCAAGCCAAGATGTCTAGATTTCCAAAGCTGTGGAATATTGTTTATATTTTTTTCTTGTACTTAAAGCAATACCTAAATGCTTCTATCTCCAACCAATCACACACATCCTTTGCACTTGCCAACAAGTGCATTGATGGACCAGCTGATAGCTACATGTTGCATATAGAATTCCTAGCTGAAAGAATTAATACAAACAATCATGACTAAATGATAAAAACCAAATGAAGAAAAGATTAGAGTTTTTTTTTTTCCTCTGCAAAAGTTGCAAACGTGATTTCCAATTGCATCACTCAAACTAGTGTCTGACTAATGACCGTGATTAATAAGACACTTTAGTTCTCACCCACAGGCATTTTGAAGCAATTAAGAGTCACCAGCTTCAAAGATCACTGCCATATCCTTTAATAGTATACCCTGTAGAAAAAAAGGAATTTCAAAGAATGAAATGTTAAATCCTTGAAGAGCACATGAACTTTGGGGTTTTGCACTAGAGTTTTTCTCACACTTCTTGTTTTTTTTAAAATTATTATTATTATTATAAATATTTTAGTAAATTAAAAATTAGGTTAACCCTTTTATTTATAGTTAACTTTTATGCCAAAACACTTTTGATTTTGCTCAAACTATTTTATGCTACTGATGGAGTAGTGAATATAAACTCAGCTCCTTGAGCTCCTTCATTTCAAGTGTAATCTTCTTTAACAATCTTGACAATCCACTTTGAAAGGTGCATCTTGAGTGAATAATAGGCCTTTACTTTTGTTCTCTGACAGCTGAAGTTGGAGCTTCATGGGGTATAGAATAAATGTTAGGACATTTCCAATTAGCAGGAAACCATTTCTATCATGCTGGGTCTCTATTTGTTAAGCAATGTGAATGTCCAGGCTATACTGTACAAGGACCGATCTTGGGTCATCCAGATTCTTTAGCATTCATAGTCACAATAAGGTTGAATGCTATCCAGAATATGGCTGTGGAATTTAGTTACCACTTAATTATAATCAAAACAATCATCTTTCTTTGAATTTCGTAACCATTGAGAAAGCAAAGCATTTTTCATTCCACGGCGTTGATTTATTTTCATATGGTTCGTCTTGTGTGTGTGATTTATTTCCAGTAACAACCATAGTTTCCATCCATACTGGTGGTGTCTTTGAAAAAATATAAATAGTCAGCTCCTTCACTAGCGCATACAAAACTGGCCGCGTTTGTTTCTCACTTGCTCTTACTGGCGGCCAAGACAGTTGCCATGTGGTTGAGAAGATCCACGACCCGGGTGCTGGAAAACAAGAGAAGAAGCTAAATCTCATGAAACGAGCGAGAAATAGAAGCACACCTGTATCCCCATTCGTTGTCATACCACGCCACGAGCTTGACGAAGCTTTTGCTCAATGGAATTCCAGCAGCAGCGTCAAAGATGCTCGACCTGGCACAAACCCACAGTTTCCGGCTTAGATTCATCTAGGTGATTCATACCTGGCATCGCCAATGAAATCGTTAGAGACAACAGGGTCCTCGGTGTAGCCGAGGATGCCCTTGAGAGATCCCTCGGATGCGGCCCTGCCAGTTACGTCCCAGAGTGTGAAAACGCTCCAAAGTCGCAAAGGTTCCTAGACTTACTTGATGGCGGCCTTGATTTCGTCGTAAGAAGCTTCCTTGGACAATCGGCATGTCAAGTCGACGACTGAGACGTTTGGAGTTGGGACACGGAACGCCATTCCTGTGAGCTTGCCATTAAGCTCTGGAAGAACCTTGCCGACAGCCTGAGAAAACGAAAACATTTAGTGACTTTGGACATGGTCCATTAAAAGAGACGTGCCTTTGCTGCTCCGGTAGAGCTGGGGATGATATTCTGGCCGGCACCTCGTCCGCCTCGCCAATCCTTTCCAGAGGGACCATCCACAGTTTTCTGAGTTGCTGGAGAAAGAAACAAAAGAAATTAAGCACAGAACTAGAGCTCTCCATGGGGTAGCACCTGTGGTTGCGTGGACAGTCGTCATAAGACCCTCAGCCAGACCAAATTCATCATTGATAACCTGCAAGAAAACAGAGCTGAGCAGCAAGGAAGAACGCAAGTGTTTTGAAGACCTTGGCCAAAGGAGCAAGGCAATTGGTTGTGCAGCTAGCATTCGAAACAATGTCTTGCTCGGCTTTGTATTTCTCGTGATTCACACCAACAACGAACATTGGCGCGTCTTCCGAGGGTGCTGAAATAACGACCTTCTTGGCTCCTCCCTAGTCACACACCGTCCAAAAGATAATATTGTGAGCAAGTCACTTTGGGAGTCTAAAAATTTCTCTTCTACCTTTAAGTGCGCAGACGCCTTTTCGGTCTTGGTAAAGACGCCAGAGGCCTCAACGACAAAGTCGACGCCGGCATCACCCCATGGGATATCAGCGGGATCACTGCAAAAAACCGAAATGCATCACAATCGATTTCCATATTAGCTGAAACATTACCGCTGTCCATAGACCTTGATCTTGTGACCACCAACTTCCAGGGTGGTGTCATCCACGGCTTTAACTTCCTCGTGAAAGATCCCGTGAGTGGAGTCATACTTGAAGAGGTAAGCCTGTCAAAAGCAAAGAAAAATGTAAAGAGCGAATCTACAAAAGCAAAGCCGCAAAGCTTACCATGTACTTGGCACTGGTGAATGGATCATTCACCGCTACCACTTCAATGTCATCTCGTGTCAACGCAACTCGGAGAACGAGTCTTCCAATGCGTCCAAAACCATTGATGCCAATCCTAGTCTTTCCTTTAGTTCCCGCAGATTCTACAACACAAAGCGAGAAACGACGAAGAACGATTTAGTTCAGGTAAAACTAACTCCCAAAAGAAAGAACTCAAGAAGAACAAGCTTTGCAAACCCATACTTGGCTTTGTGGGAGCCTCCGCCAGCGCTGCTCGCACCGAAACCATGGAACCCTTTGTGGCACGGCTCGTCAAGGGAGCCGAGAAGCTCAGATCGGACACACCGAAGAAAGAATCCATCTTAGCAGCCATCTTAAAAGCCTTTGGCTTTGGAGACGCGACCTGGCAATGCAAGAACAGCAGTGAGAGTGCCGAAATATGTGTGGATCATACAGTACCATGTTGCAAGACGCTGCCTGGGACGCATTCGAGGCGGATGCGCTCAATCGATCCATGGCGCAGCTCGCGGCCACGGCGGACTTCATCATCGTTGCGGCCATTGGCAGAAGCAGCGAAAACTCGGCGAGGATCTGCAAGGCCGCCGACAAAGAATGAGATTACCTCTGGAGCGAGAGATTTAAAGCCGCGATCCCTACCTAGCTAGGCGCGGCCCAAAAAAAGCGAGGCGCGCTCTCGACCTGTGATCTAAACGGCCCTTCCTCTTCAACCTCGAAGTAAACAACACGGGCCGGGGGGTTTTGCATGTCCGCGTATGGACCGTCGGATGCTTATCCAACGGCTCACAGCGCGCCACGTAAGATTCCATCAGCATATTACGTCATTATATTCCGTCAGCGGCGTACTTTATTCCTCGCACATTCTGCCTACAAACAGACATATTCCGCCAGCTCGAGCAGCACATTCCGTCTGACATTAAGAAAATTGGATGAGACTTTGGAATCCGGACAAGGAATATATTAGTATACTTTGATATATATCAAACAAATCGCTACCATTGGATGGATGCGACCCCCATTTGTTCTCTCCCAGTGGTAGCTCGCGTTTTAAGCACTTCGTCAAGCCTCCAAAATGGAAGCCGCCAAACTGGCCTTCTTTGGAGCTTTCAATCTGTATTCCCTTTTGATCACGTCGGCCGCGAGAGTGTGCACGGTAGAGTTCTCTTTCTCGTCTTTAACGTTCCGGCCCTTGGCCTGGTTGATCCCAGCAGCGCACTGCGCGAAAGAGACCGACGTTTTTGTCTTTTCAATCTCAAAACCTTTGCAGGACTTACGAGGCAAACACCGTAGAGAGCTCGCATATTTTTGCCTCCGCTTAGCTCAATCGCCGATGCGTAGTATTTCTTGGCTGTTTTCAAGTTTTCCAAGCCACCTATCGTGTACAAAATCTGGCAAAATGCGAGACCAAAAAGGTTGAGACTTTGTTGAGCACGCACACACACAAAACCGCGTACCTCGGCATACCCCAAGTGAAACAAAGCATTCGCGGGTTGTACCAAGATGAGTTCCTCGTAGCAAAATGCAGCTTGTTTGTACCTGGGAAGGCATTTTCAGTGATTTCAGCGCGTCGGAAAGACGACTCACATTTGCAGCGCGAGGTAAACGTCTGCGAGTTCTTTCCAGCACTCGTGATCAGCCATGAACCTGACACACAACTAAGCATCAACAAAAAAAGAAAAACGAAAAAAAAAATGCTTACAGTTCAAGGTATTTGTTCATTTCATCAACTGCACCCATCAGGTTTCCTTGAGCTTTTGCCATCGCTATCTTTCTCTTAAGTATTCTCTGGACAAGGCACAAAAGTTAAAAAACCTTGGAGAAATCCACAAGAGGTTTTAAGCTTACTGCATCAGTCGGGTGCTCCTCTAGAATGCTAGCATAGACTTTCTCGGCTTGTTGCCACGATCCCCTTGCTTCAAACCACATTCCTTCCAGACGCCCTGATCGAAACCCGAATTTGTCAGAAAAATCTCGCATCAACAAAAGCACACGCATGACATTTGCATCACGCACCCACTCGAGTGCTATCCGGGAACTTCTTCAGCAAAGCTCCAATGCACTCCTGCCGATCACGCAAAATAATCCAAACCTCTCATAGAACAATCGAAGAGTCTGAAGGAAAAACTTACCTTTGCAGCGGTCAAGCATTGACAGTCCAATGCGGCGATCGCAACCTGCTCGTACACGGTCCAGACTGCCAGGCATTTGGAGAAATTTTCATCCTTGACGCTCAGATCGAAGAAAAACATCCTTACCGTCAGCTCCCAGCTTGGCCCTGGCGCTGGAATTTCTAAGCAGCTCCATCCCGTGCTTGGCGACCTTACTAGATCTGCGCAGCTTGAGCTTGCGAATGAGAGCTAGATACCGAGCAACATCGCCGACGCCTTCATCCACCAGCGCCTCCAGCCGATCCACCTCCGTGATCCCTTCTCCCATCGCCTATTCCACTAGGAACCCTAAAACTTTGATCCCTTAAAAAATTTCACTCCTAGCGCCGCATATTCTAGTCAATGCAAGAGGAATATTTCCATCTTGACGAAGCAATCAATCAATTTACAAATGGTTTTACACATGATGTTTCTTCTATATGAATCGTCACGCAATCGAGAGAATTTCCTTCCGGTTTGCCACCATCTTGGAAAAGAGATCGCCCATTTGCTCCTCGAGAATCTGGAAGCCGCTGTCGAGATAATCGAGCTTCTTGTGCGCGAGCTGGAGGAGCTGCTTGATCTGGAGCTCGTCATCGTCTCTTCTCGCTTTGTTCCGCAGCAAAGAATCCAGCAGCGCCGCGATCTGCCCCAAGCACGAGCAAATCCCTTCCAGAAATGCCGAAGACCAACGATTCCCACGCCTTGCCTCTGCCTCTTCCTTGAGCTCCTCCCACAAGCTTGGAAATCCCCCCGATAAGTTCTTTGGGATCGGGATAGCTGGCGTGATCGAGAGACCCGCACTGCAATCCAAGGCCACCAGCAGCGCCCCCAGCACCAGCGAGCTCACCAAGTTGGCCTCGATGGCTTTGCTTGCAATCGTGGATATGTTGGACTTCTTCTCGAGCTTGAGCTTCCGGTAATGGTGGCTGTCTTGATCGAGTGGCCAGCTCCCTGTATGCGTGTTATTCACCTCACTGCTCCTCTCGATCTCGCCGATCACTTCCTCCAGATAAATCTTTGCTCTGGCGACTTCCAATTCCTTGGAGATCGCCGCGCTCTTGACGAGATTGAGAGCGTACTTGATCCTCATCTTGTGCTGCGCCGCTACGCTCATACCCTTCCTCACAGCGTTGATCGTCTCGAGCTGCCTCGCGTTGTCATCCACGAACACCGAGACTAGAATTCGATCCCTCTTCCCCGGCATTCCCAGCGCTTCCAGCAGCAGGCGCTGGAGATCGGCGTGCACCGCGAGCATCGCGTCCACGCCTTGCAAGATCCAGTGGAGATTGAGGAATCCCATACCTGTGGACGGAGGAGCGAGCGCCTGATCCATGGCGAGCGTTCCAGCTGTTTCTCAGCTTGTGAAGATCATCCCGCGGAACGCGCAGTAGCCGATTTTGTGGACTCGCTACCTAGGAATCAAGACCTAGGGCTCTTGCCACTCGGTTACGCGTTTGACCCTGCCAACGGTCGGATGCTATGGAAATCGCCACGTGGCACAATCACAGGACACGTTATTCTTGCCACATGGCGTGATTGCAAAGGTCTTGGCTATGGCGGCAATTGCTATGCCTGCGCTGGGCATATCGATGAACCTTTCTTCTTCATCGCCCCCTTCTTCTTCTTGGACATGTAGGGCAAGTGTGAAGAATGGGACAGGGAATTTGCCGCCGATTAGCAAGGAGGAGACGATCGAGCAGGCGCGCGCTTCGCTCTGGGCGGTTCTCGAGGCACCGCTGAAACGTCGCGCGGAGCCATCGACGCTGCGGAAGATTTCCAAGCGCCAAGCCCAGATCCAGCAGCAGTCACGCTTCCGGATCGAGATCCCAGTCCTGGATGGCGACGACCGAACCCTAGCATCGCTCGCGCTCGATCTGATCGCCAATGCCGGTGTTTCCAAGCTCTGTCTCGTGCTGCCGACGGCGCTGCTGCAAGAATTCGTGGCGGCCGAGGCGGAGAGGAGGCGCAGCGCCGATTCTAGGGTTCTTCCAGAGCTCCAGCTCGAGAACCTCCAGGACGATTACGATTTTGCGATCCACAAGGACGCGGCGTTTGTGCTGATCGTGGCTCCCGGCTCGGCCGAGATTGATCCGGTGGGGAGGATCTTGGGGAGTTCCGGGGGCAGGGCAATCGTCGTGCTCAATCCGGAGTGGTCGCTGGAGGAAGAGCTCGCGGCGCCGTGTGATGCATTCCAGGTCGCATACTCCTTCATCCCTCTCTCGATCAGAGTGTTCTTGAGCAGGAAAGAAGGCGCGGTGCTCAAGGAGGTCCCGCTCAACACTCCATGGCGAGTGTTCTTGAAGGAAGGCAGCGAGATGGATTGCGTGTTGAGCCTGAGTAGGCGGCCATCGCCGGAAGATCTGGAGAATGCGCTCTACAATCGCGTGGCGGCGAACTCCCCGGTTGTAAAGTCGGCCAAGTTCTTGAGTGGGCTGTTTGGCAAAAATTAGGGTTCTTGCGCGCGGTGTGTTTGAAATTAGGGCTCTTTTGATGGAGGAGAAGGCGGCGAAGAAGAAGCTGTGGATTCAGGAGCAGCAGGCGCTCAAGCAAAGACTGGTTTGTAGCGATTCCTTCCCATGGGTAATTCCAGAGAAATTTGGCTATGGTGAGCCAAGAACCCTAAAAAAGGAAGAAGCGGTCGATTCTAGCGCGCCGAGCCAGCACGAATTACTCGACGATTCCAAGCCTCGATGGATCGAAGCAAGATTGCGAGGGAAAGGGAGAGATTGAACTCAAATATATCGGTGGGATGGATCTTAGCTTCGTCAAGGAGAACGAGACGGTGGCTTGCAGCGCGCTGGTGGTGATCGACGCGGTCACAATGGCGACAGTGTACGAGGATTTGGAGATCGTCTCGCTCGACATGCCTTACATTCCAGGGTTCCTGGCCTTCCGTGAGAGCCCGGCGCTGCTCAGTCTCCTCGCGCGGATGAAATCCTCGCGGCCAGAGATCTTCCCGCAGCTGCTCATGGTGGACGGGAATGGCGTGCTTCACCCGCGAGGATTCGGGCTCGCGAGCCATTTGGGTGTTCTTGCCGATGTTCCAACGCTGGGAATCGCCAAGTCGTTGTTCGAGGTGGACGGGCTCTCCGAGAGGGAGGTGAAGAGGAGCGCCAGGAATTCGCTGCTGCGAGCTGGGGACGCCATGGATCTGGTGGGGCGATCGGGCAAGGTTTGGGGATCGGCGCTGCGGAGCACCGGAGAGTGCGTGCATCCAGTGTTTGTGTCGACCGGGCATAGGATTTCGCTGGAGACTGGCGTGGAGATTGTGAGAAAGCTGTGCAAATTTAGGGTTCCTGAGCCTGTGAGGCTGGCTGACAAGAAATCGCGAGAGTATCTCAGGGTTAATGGATACACAAAAAGCTAGGAATCTATAATTTGAAAAGCGGATATGCGGATTTTGAAAAAACCGCGCCCGCCCTTACAATACGATGCCACGTGGCAAGACGGACGCGTCGAATGAGAATCTTTTACGGTATCATTTTTAGGGTTCTTGAAGGGAACCGATATCCGCTTCTCTTTTGGAATTGCGCGCCCCAATTCCGACACAAGGGTTTGGAGCTATGGCGGCAGCAGCGGCAGGAGCAGCGGCAGCGGCTGCGCCAGCATCCTCGTCGGCTACATTGATGGATCAACACGCTAGCAGCTCTGGCTGCTCCTGCTCCTTCTGCCGCCATAGCTGCTGCTGCGCTGGCGGATTATCGGAGGACAAGGCGCGATTGGCAGCGGCGCTCATCGCCGCGCGCTCCGGCAATCACACCAGCGCAATAGCGTCATTGGTTTTGTTCGCGGCATCGGTCGGAGTCATCCTCGCTAAGCTAGGGTCTTCGTCTTCCAAGGCGCCGCTGGATCGTCGGGCGAGAGGTCAGATGCATTTCTTTCATAGGAGGAGGCACTATCATCTAGGCCAGGTCGTGAAGAGGAAGTCCCGCTGGGAATGGAGGCCGGTTACTCGCCGATCCACCGGGTCCCAGACAGTACAGTTCGATCTAGCCGCCATTTCATCCTCCCTCTCGCAATCCCCCGCGAAGTTTTCTCCCAGTCCCATGGTCGTAGAGGCATCGTCTCAGATCCCCGAAGAGCCCTGTATCGCTTCCTTGGTAGATTTCCCTGGCCTTTCCCGCGAGTTAATGGTAGTAGAAGACGCCCGTCCTCCGGCGCCACCTCGTTCTAGCGAAGACGTCAAGGATCTCGTCGCTGTTGGATTGAAGCTGGCTCCACTTCCAATGGTGGAACTTCTCAGGACAGATTCTGGCAACGACGCTTCCACCAGCAACGTGACACATGGTGATCAGGAACAGGAAGAACAGCAGCAAACTATGAATCGAAAGCAGCGAAAGCACTTGAAGAAGAAACAGAAGAAGCTCGTCGCTGCCTCGCGGACTTTCCAGATTAGCTCGCTGCCGGTGCTCAAGTCATGGAAATCCAGCAGCTCACCGCCGCCGCCACCTTCAAGGAAGCTAGTTGCTGCCACCACCCCATGCAAGATCTACGACTGTGCCAACAAAAATTTCGGCCCTCTCGGCTCCTCGTCTTCGAAAGCCATCGCCTGGACGTACTCCCTCTCAAAGCCTTCCGCCAGGGTCAGTAGCTCTGCTTCCTCTGCGCCACCTTTGCAGCCACAGCCGACTTTCCAAGCGGCAGCGGTGGAAACGAAGGTCGTCCACGAAATCAGCGAGATAAGCGAGTCTCCAAAATCTTACCTGGGGGACTGGACGGACAGTGAGAGCTCCAAGAGATCAAACTCGGACCCGGAAGAAATCGAGTTACCGTCCCTCGACTTCGAGTTTGAAGAGGACTCGGAAGATTACACCTTCCAGCCTAGTGTCCCCAGCCACTAACACTCCCATCCTGCTGTAAAAAACCTTCGTCCCGCCTCAAGCCTGTTTTGATTCTTCCTACTTAGCTCTATTCCCCGGGTTAGAACACTTTCTTTTGATCATGGTGCTCTCTTTTCCTGCTTTGCAGCTGTTACAGATACTTCAAGAACTCGCGGTTTTGTTCCCGTGCTGAGATTATAACTGGTATGCATTTGATTTTTCTTGACAAACGTTCTCTTCGGATCTTTGCATGGATTCCGTGACGCTGGCGGCATGGAGCTCGTGTGGTTTGCAAGGTACTTGACTACATAGACTGATTTTTTCCCAGCAAACTTTGAAACTTGCCATTCTTGACAGAGTATCGAAGGATGGATACCTTTGTAATCGGCCATCCAAGTCAAGGCAAGCCGTGGGACTATGTTCGCCGTAGTTCCTTTGTGGAAACACCACATGTAAGCTCCACACCGGCACTTAAGCCCAGGATCGATGTCAGCTGGCAGGCCAAACTTTCGATGTTCATCACCACGCTCCTGCATTACCTGGCACGGATCTCTAAGGTTACTGGTAAATTCGTGGAATACATTCTCAACGTTTTCTACATAAACGGCGGATTCATCAAAGTCTGCAACAAGATTTTGGCTGGTGAATGTAAGCTATTGCTCTTGTTTTTGCAAGGACTCTCAGTTGTCTATTTCACTGCAGTCTTAGTAATGCCCGTGGAAGGCTCGGAAAATTACTGGAGCATTGTGGGGATGCTAGACCCGAGATTGGAGCTGATGACCGAAAGTTCCGACGATCAGAAGCTTCAGAAATCTGAAGGCAGCAGTTTCTTTGAAGTGGTTCCCGGATCAAAAGTCGTGGCAGACGTGTGCATCATGGCTTCGAAGCTTGCGTACGAAAACCCGGCGGTTGTAAACAAAGTTGTTACTCAGATCTGGAAGGTATGTGACCCAACGTTCTGATTCTAACGCGTACACAATATTTTCAGATGTCCCTTGTGAATGTGTTCGAGTGCATCAACAGTTAAGTATTTAATCTTGAAAGGCTCGGTGCTGACTGAAAGAAGCTATTACGATGCAGAGAACCAAGAGAATAATCCAACACAGGTTTTCCTGTTCATGGATGCACCTCAGGACGCCGGCGCAATCGTTGTCACGTTCAGAGGAACCATGCCGTTCAACGCATATGACTGGAGCACCGACTTTGATTTCTCCTGGTACCACCTTCCGGGGGTCGGAAGAATTCATGTGGGCTTTATGGAAGCTCTCAGCCTGGTGGATCGCCACGACATGGAATCCTTTACAAGGCTCAAGAAGCACAGCTATCAAAACGTTCAAGGCAAAGAGCGCGTCACTTCCGGCTTGCCAGAGGCTAAAAACGAGGACAGGAAGCTCTCGTTGGCCTACGATTCGACCAAGGACAAGTTGAAGGAGCTTGTGAAAGCCAACAAGAGCGCCAAAGTCTACATTACGGGACACAGCCTTGGTGGAGCTCTGGCCACTGTTTTCACGGCGATGCTGTTCTATAACAAGGAAGACTCGGTGACGGAGAGGATAGCAGGGGTGTATACTTTCGGCCAGCCTCGAGTTGGAGACATGGATTTTGCAGACTACATGGACGAGAAGCTCAATGACCCGGTGAACCGCTACTTTCGGATCGTTTACTCCAACGACATCGTTCCCAGGATCCCGTTTGATGATATATTCTTCCAGTTCAAGCACTTTGGTCTGTGCTTTTACTTCGACCATAACTACGCTGCAAAGGTACGTATGATTCTTACTACAAATCTTGCTGCTGATGCGCGTGATGCTTTTCAGACGCTGCTCGAAGAACCAAATAAGAACTTCTCAATCAAGTACTTCATCGCGACACGGATCACGGCAGCCTGGGACTTGATTCTAAGTTTCAGGAGGAGCTACTTGCATGGGTCGCAGTTCAAGGAGACGATGGCATCCCGTGTGCTTCGCGTTGCAGGGCTGTTCTTTCCTGGGATTGTGGATCACAATCCTGTAAATTATGTCAACTCTATCCGGCTTGGACCAAGAGTTTTGCACACCGAAGTTCACATGCAAAAGCTTCTGGAGCTGCTAAGAATGCATGGCTACACGAAGATGGATATCTCTCAATAAACATTGTCTACAACGTTAACATAAGATCAGTGATATTTTCATGTCTATTAAATGTGTATAGTTCTTGGCGATAATCCTACTGCTAGACCCACGTGGCTGATGGCCTGTATTGTACTAGTCCCATAAAGCCAGTGAATCTGACATTTGAGCTGTTACCCTTTGAAAAAGGCATAAATTTTCTCTAGCTGTGCTGCAACTTTCAGGACACCCAAATTTCCCACCGTCCAGAGAAGCGATCCATGTGATCGATGGGAAGTTTGGCATATAATATTTGTTTATGTACAGTCTAGGACGGTCAGAACAAGATTATCAAACTCAATCTTGTGTATTTAACTGGGATTTGCTTGCGATTTGGATGCCTCCTTGTGCTTAGCATGGGATTGACTTGGAAAAGGATTTCCCACGCGATCCATGCAAGCCTCACAGTATAAATTGTGATCAAAGAAAGGGCACCAAAGCACATCCTTTGCTCGTTTCATCTTTTGGAATCTCTCCTATCCTTGGAAAATGGCCAAGCTTCTTGCAACTGCCTGCCTTGTCTTTGGCCTGGTGCTCTTGGCAAATGCATCTCGCGATATTGAAGGCATGTACTTTGTGCTTTAAGTCTTTCCCGTCTATTACATCCATTGAACTGTGTTGTAAGCAGTGGGCAACAAGGGCGTTATGTATACGATTGAGGAGCCTTCTATGGAACTTGTGACCACCATCCACGAACCTCCTCAGCACGGTAAATGAGAGTCACATTCTTTCTCGCACGACCATCAGTTCATACTTGAAATGTTTGTGTTTCCAAGGCCTTGGCGGCAGCTATTGCTGCATCAAAAACTTTCAGGGCTGCGTTCAGGAGTGTGATTCCAGCATTACCTATGAATGCTGCGTCAAAAACGGATATGGGTGCCACCAGATGTGCGATAAGGAAAAGGAGTACTTTTGCTGCCGGGAAAATAAGTTCGGTTGCGGTCAGCGCTGTGAATCGGGACGCGAGTACTACTGCTGCAGTTATAACAAAATAGCCGGCTGCCTTAACATGTGTCCAAAGGAGACCAACAATCTCATGCTGGAACAGGTTGTGTGATTTAATCCTGAAGCACATCGATCTGGAAAATAATAAGTTTTCTGTGGTATGTGAGTACTTTATTCTATCATGGGAATTGCTGTAATTCTTACATTTCCAACACTTATTTAAGCTTTCGCATTTTCCTAAGCCAAACCCGAGCCAAAGTGCTTTTATTACGCATGTGATTTCTACCAGAAGGAACTGATTTTTTAAGTGTGCTTACCTCAGTGCTTGATTCCTGCTGCCAATGCGTGCTCAAACAAACTCCAGCGAATGCGAGCTCATCTAATATAGTCCAGACGGATTTGTGACTCTGTTGTTTCAATGGCAGGGGCTTATAACGTAGAACAGCAAGTTCCAAAATCTGATCAAAGCTTTAAACGCATTCCTTCTGTTATAAAACATGAGATAATATTTTCGTGCCAGGTTGGCAGTTAGCCCGTTCCGTTAAAAGCCCCCAGCCCTATCCTCTGATGAGCGCGTGTGAAAATGTACGACATCCAGTCTCGTCCCAGGAAGAATGGTGGCCTCCACTCCCACTCCCACTCCCACTCCCACTCCCACTCCCACTCGCATTCTCACTCGCAATCACCATCGGCAACAGCAGTCCTTCCCAGGAGAGTCCGTCTCGTGCCCAGCACCATCTCCGACTCCTCGTGTAAGTCCTACTCCTCCACCCCCACCGCCGGGGCCTATGCTTTGAGCCCATACTCCCTCGCCAGCCCCGCGCTCGATCCCACTAGTTTCACCGCCAAAGATCGCGTCTCTGCTGCCACTGCTCCACCGGAAGAACCCGCTGCTGTCACTGCCGCTGCGTTTGGAGGATTCGAGCCCAAGGACGACGATACGATGCAGTCGCTCTTGGACAACTTCTCCACGCTCGAGTCGGAGATAAAGTCGCTGCTCAAGGGGAAGAACTCGCTCAAGGACCGCATCCAGTCGCTGGGGAGCAAGCAGGAGTCGATGAGGAGCGTCATCCAGAACATGGAGGACAAGCAGCTGGAGAGTATCAAGAGTAAGCTGGATGTCATGGAGCAGCAGGCGCGGGGGAGAGTCGACTACTTGAACCGCTTGAAGCAGGAGAGGATCCATTCTCTGGAGCAAGCTCGAAACACCGAGTACTTAGATCAGCCAGCCTTTGATCATTCGGCCGCCGCCACCACCGCCACCAGCTGCTTTGACGAAGAAAGACGTGCACAGAGCTGCCATCAACAAGATCACAGTCAAGAGAATCAATCGAGAAACAACACCATCGAACCTGCTTTGAAGAGGATCATCACTTGCTGGGACGAGAACAACTGCGACTTGCACCTCAAGAGGCTCATCCACTCCTCCAGGCAGATTGCTGCGTTCGAGATCCTCGAGTTTGCTCACAAGCGGCTCAGCACGCACCTCATCAACCACATCTCCGAGACTGCCAGAGCTCTCGTCGGTGACGAGAAGACCGGCTACCTCGGACAGTTCCTCAAGCACGGGCCCTTCGAGAGCAAGCCGGTTGGCGAAGGAACGTATGGAGAGCTTCTCAAGTTCGTGCAGCGTGAGGCCAAGCCGAGGAAGGAGCTGCTCAAGGCGCTCAAGGCCGCGGAAGATAGCCTCGTCCAGGAAGCTGTCGCGTCTGGCTACCGAGCCATCGAGGTCGGCGATATAAGATCCCAGATGACCGGCTTCTTCACGACTTCCATGCAAAACTTGAGCCGGTGCTACTACCCCATACCACTGGCGGACGCGGAGGTGACGAGGGACGTGATCGACGACACTCGGTTGGCTGCCGAGCAGGGGAAGCTGGGGGCGTTACAAAAAGCGTCCAAACTTATCAAACTCGGCTGTTATTTCCTCCAGTGGCAGCTCGCTGCGCAAGCTTCCTGATTATGATTTAAAAACGAAAAGAAGATATCAGAATAAGTGCGCGGTAGTATACGTACCGCGTCGTCTTTACAGTCAATATAAGTCTCTTTATACACTCAAAACTTCTGCGTATAAACAAGATAGCTCGTTAACAGTGTCAACTTGAGTAGATTCTACCTCTATCCAACACAAAAATCCTGCGATTCGAATGTACAAAGCGTCCTGTTTCATGGGAACGAAATTTAGACGAGATCAGTATGAAAGTAAAAGATGATACCTTATGGACGAACAAAAAATAGCTGTCTCCAAACCAAGGCGCTCTTCCTCTTCATCTTCCTCGAGTATATACGAACGACGTCACCGGTGTTTTTGCTGCGGCTCAGCTTGAACGCTGCTAATAACGAATGGAACAAGACGCCGATAGTAACTGCGCTTTCCCACGCCATAAGTATCCAAAACACGTCCCAGTGCCAGCCTGGTGTTTTGCAGCGCCGTCTCGCGCGATGGAAGCATCGTCATGTCAACACTGCCGGGATTTCCAGTCACCGCAGGAACTCCACCAGAGCCAACCCAGGAATGGAAGGGACCTGTCCGAGACTTGAAAGAAGTCTGCGAGAGCAAGGCAACGACAGGCCTGTCTTCGTCTAGCCTCCTCGTCGCTGCTTGTCCGTTGGCAGTGGCATCCTGTCCGCTGGAAGTTGTAGCTTCCACCGGCAAAGTGCTGCAGCTTTGCAAAACCGCCTCTAGAACATGTAAGGCTTCCCAGCAGAGAGGACTCTCCACGAGCTGAGAGACGGCAGCGTAAACTTGAGGACTCTGGGCGGTATCCATCGGACAGTGCTGCAAGAGCGCCCTGAGCATGAGGAGAATCACTCGCTGGTACTCCACTGGTCCTTTCTCCAGAACACGTAAAAGGTGGCCGAATGCCAGCGCCGAATGCCGAGGGAACCATTCCTTGCACAGCAACGGTACTATACGGTTGAGCAAGTCTCCGATGGCGGTGACTTGTCCATTCCCGTAAGCGGAGAAAACAGCCGCTAGAGCTCCCTGCGATTTTGCCTCGCACCACTGAGCGATGTTTGTCGCGACAGAGCAAGCCTTTTGAAACTGCTGCTGGAGTGGCGAGTCGAAACCGGGTAAGTGACTCTGTCCTTTTACGAGCTGAAGCAGGAGCCAAGGGAGAAGGCCCACGATGTGCATCAGCAGACGAGTGTCCGAGTCGCCAAAAATCCGGTCGCACGAATGCAGAGTTATCCTCGACAGCACCTCGATGGCACACGTATGGCTCACTGTTGACATGAGTCCCTTGAGAACCAGCGGCTGCACTCCTTCAAACGCCGGAGCTTTGTCTGCGTCTGTTCCCCCGTCACCTTTCCCTTCGCTGCTCTCAAACTCGTCCCTGGGCATACTGGACAGAAGAACCTGTTCGGCGGTGTGGTCGTGGAAGGATAGCCGATCAACAATCCGGGAAAGCAGCTCCAAAACTTGGACGTAAACGTGGACGAAGTCCGTGTGCAGCATGGCCACACAGCCCCAGAAGAGCTGTGGATAGAGAATAACTTTCTCGGGTTCCATGCTCTCCACCATCACTTGCAGAGTCAGGAGGATCTCCATGACGAATCCCAGCACTGGAGGAGTTGGATTGCTGAAGCATCGATGTAGGCACCTCAGCAGTGAAACACACGTCTCGCTGGTGACACTGGGACGGAGTGCACGGTAAACCTGGTGAGACCGGCAGGCCAGATGACGGTATGAGCACTCCATAGCCCATTTCAAAGCCTCCTCCCCCCATTTCTCCCGAAGGTCGCCTTGGAAAACTATCGCGTCCACCACACTTAGCACCAGCGCAGATAGTAAAGCAGCACTTGGCAACTCCGTTCTCGTCAAAGACATTGATTCCTTTTCCCACATCCTGCTTCCCTTCTTCGACTGCACGTACTTGATCAGGCTCACGACTTGTTGCTTGTAATCTCCATCACCATGCTCGTAAAGTTCAAGATGTCGTCCCGCTAGCGAGTAGAGAAGATTCACCAGCAGCTGCTGGCAATGCTTCAAAACAATGTCTTCGGAGCTATCCATATATACGAACGTAACGTGGAAGAGCAGCGGAAGGTGGCTTCGAAAGTCTTCGTCATTCTCGTAAGCTATCTCCGCCAAAAGTATCAGAGCAATGTCCGCACGAGAAAGCCAGTGGTGATGGGCCTGAAGAGCCGACTGCAGCTCGCTCGGGTTCACCGGTGGAGTGATGATACGTATGTCTTCGACCGAATTCGGAGTGTCAAAATAGTCTCCACTGTCACGCGATAAGTGGTGACTCTTCAAGCTTCCTGTGGAGCTACGAACTCCCAAAAGCTGGCCAGAAGCATTTGGCAAGGGTCCTGATCCCGTGAATAGCTGGCCAGACCTCCCGGTATGCGTGTCGGGGACAGTATTCAGAGGACCCGACATACTCCGACCTGTGGCTGTTCTCCAGCTTAAACTCCCGCTGGCATTCCTCAGTGGTCCTTCCAGAGAGCTCCTGACCAGAAGTGGTGACATATGCGGCGGCGGTTCTAGCAGTTGAACGGGAGCTGGTCCTTGCGAGAACTCCAAAACAGCCGAGCTTTCAAGCTCAAACGCTCCATCCACACTTCGTTTCGATTGCTCCGGATGATCTTCAAGTCTTCTCTCTGCCAACTCGCAGACGAGATTATCTATGGTCTGCTGTGGTGATATTCGAGCCAAGTAAAGGCTTATCCGCTTTGCCACGGAGAAGTACGTCGCAAAAACTCCAGTAATCTCTCCTGATGCGGTTGAGTCACCATCTTCAATGCCCTTAGATATCAAAAAGTCGAGGACGGGACTGATATTTCGTCTCTTGTTTGCCACTGTCCGCCACAGCTTCTCAATCTCATCAGGGAACTGATCCCCGTGACGCCAAGTTACGTAGTAAAGGCTCTTCAGCAGTCTCTCACTCCATCCCGATTCCCAGAGCTTCAAGTTTTCAATCCAAGGAGCCATGCACGTAAGAACCTGATGCTGAGCGATGATGTCCACTGCATCCAGCTGCCTTTGCATGATCTCCTCGCAAAGTAGCTCACTCAGCTCTGGATGTTCCTTTGCTAGCTTTGCAGACAGCTGATACTGAAATTGTTGGTAAGAATCTGGTAAACTTCCCACGACCGCTGCTCGATACCTTCCCGTTCCTTCCCCATCCTCAGCCCATTCCCTGATGGATAAAGTCTCTAGCATCTGTAATGCATCATCTCTAATCCTCCGAGACTGGTCCACAACCTTGTAGAGTATGAGGCTTAACAGTCTTTGGGTGTCGCACCTTGGTATCTCGTACCGCATGTACACTTCGGCAAGAACAGAAAAATATCCATCCGCGATAGAAGGATCAGAAGAGTAGCACTGCAACACGTAAATAGTAATGCCACCAAAAACTCATGAGTAAATCACAAACCTGGTCGATGCATGCTGGGAAGAGATCGAGGTTGGTCTGAACGAGGTTCATAAGAGCAACTTTCGCAAGATGAACTCGCATAGGATTGCTCTTGTGCCTGTCCTTACCACCGTGAACTACGTCAAAGACTCCAGCCATGGCGAACTTATGGAGTGGTGTACGAGGATCTGGAGAATACCCGATAGGCATTCTAGTAGCCGGTTCAAGGAAAAGGCCGTTGATCCATGCGATGATTCTCCCACTCATCTTCCTGACGTTGTCGTCGAAGCAAGGCCCATATAACAGAGCGGCCATAGCGTTCATAGCGATCCATTGGATTGCATCCACCTGTTCGTTGACGTCCTTCTCTACAGTGATTCTCTCCACAGAGTCCTTAGTCCTGGAGTTTTGTGATGACTTGTACCGCTCCACTTCCCGTCGGTACTCGCTAACACCGTCTTGGCTCCAGACAGTCGTAGTATCGTCGCACCAGGACGCGAGCAGATCGAACATCCGCTTCCTTGTTCGCGGATCAAACCGGTCCGAGTTGGATTTCACCATTTCGATGGAAACTGATCGTAGCACGGAGCCTAGGCAAAATCTTAGAGGTTGCAAATCTTGGAAAACCTCCAGCGGAGACGGTGACGTGATGTACTTGACTGTGTCTTCAATGAACTTGATCACATGAATACGTTGAACGGGCTTGCGTATCAGCATACCAGGCCAAAAATTATCTGCCACCATTCGGTATATGTTTGCAACATGCACACGAATGTCTTCTCGCCTAAGTTTTTGACTCTGTAAAAGGAAAACATCAACACAGAGGCCTTTTGGCAGACTCGTCATACCTTCCACTTGGGACGACTTTCAATCTCCGTTGCAATTTCGTCCAAAAACTGTCGTAATTCCGTGAGCATTGGTTCGCAAATCTCCCAGTGGCAGTGTCCCAACGCTAAGGTAGCCGCATTCTGTGGGGGAAATGAACACAGGTACAAGTAAGCATCAGAATGGTCGAGTGAAGGAAGGCTCACAATTTGAGTCTCGGAACCTGACTTCAAAGACGGCAAAATTAGACGAAGCAACTCTTTCGTAGAGTGCGACTTGGTGTCCTCCACGTCCTCAGGAGGACATGAACATGCAAACATTGAATACAGAAGCCACTGGTCTAGCTTGCTGTCATCGTGCGACGTTGTTGACTTCCCACCGAGTTCTACCGAAGTAATTTGTGCAAGCCGCTGAACCACTTCCAGTCTACATAGAACGACTTAGATTAGAAACTACGGAGCGAAACAGAAGAAAAAGAAAAACGCACCTTGCACCTTGAACAGCTGACGGACAAAGCTCTGCTGCATACTTAACAAGTTCACTTAAACATCGTCCCCAACGACCTTTGTCCGAGCTCTCCAGTACGGTTTGCAGCGATAGTTCTGGTGGAATGGCATCCCACTCTTTTCTCATTTCGTACCATCTTCCACAGTCCCAGTAGCATTGCTGGACAATGTCGTCCTGGAGAAAAGAACTTTAGAACGAAATCATTACAATAACGAAAATATACATACACCAGCTTCCTCGAATACGTCGATCACGTAAGTATGGTCTGGATGTGGCCTTTTATTGTTCTTCTCCTTTGAAGACATCCTTGAGAGATCATTGTAGAGAGCTCGAACGGCCCTCAAAAGTTCCAGAGCCGTATGCCGAATTTGAACGTCTACCGAGCACAGAAATATAAGACCCACTGCATCTAAACCCGAGGGATGAAACCGGGCTTCCGATGGTGCTGCATGACGTGAACTTTTGTTATAGTTGTCTTTGCTGTCCGAAAGCTCTTCCAAAAGAGACACGCGCCAAGAGCTTAAAAGCTGTACGAGACGATCCAGAGAAATCCGGATCAGTATTGGAAAGTCGTCCGGGAGCCGAAATATAAAATTTGCCATCCCTCGCATGACGGCAAAGCGGCTTTGAGGAAGGTCCCGAACAGTTCTAAAAAGAACCTGCACGGCTTCCTCACGAACACCAGGTTCAACACTGATCGCATAAACCGGGATAATTTCCGTCATCCGATCGTTGCGCCACTGCTCTGGTATCAAATGTGGTACACATTTCAGAGCCCAGCGGAACACAAGCCAGCCTTGAGGCTTTTCTTTGCTCAGAGCATCTGTCAAAATTACGTGACTGTGAGAAAAAACTGTCGAAAAGAGTCGCAAAACTTACCCAGCGTTGCCTTCGAGGAAGTAAGCAATGCGCCCCCATAAGTGCTGTGACATGCTTTGATAATAGAACCAAGAGCAGCTCGCACTTTTGGTATATATGGTCCAATATCATGAGTGCTGGAAGGAATATCAACACGAGCTGCAGCACTGTGACGAGATGACGTAAAAACGGCCGAGGTTGCTGATGACCAAGAAGATGTCGGTGATCCACGAAATGACGTCAAAGAGAGCCGAGAATCATCTGTACGTTGCTCGGCCGAAGTGGACGAAACTATAGCCAAAAGTCCTCTCAGACCGATGACTTTAGCCTCGCTAAGGTTCTCTGTCCGAAGAAGTTCCAATATCACGTGATTCATCGCGAAGTCCAGATTACTCTCGGCTATTGTCACGCAAAGGTCGACAAGCTTCTCGTGTTGAACATCCAGCGTAAAAAAGCCTTTTTTCAAACAGCTCAACAATTGAGCTGTAACACTGTGCAAGGTCATCCATACCCGATTTTGCGGTTGACTTTCAGCGTACACATTCAAATAGAAGCGAAGCACTCTGTGAAGACATTCCAATGCTACCGATCTGTTATTTTTCTCCTAAGACAAAAAAAAGGTTTAGAGCAATACTGAATTTTAACGTCCCTGCTCACCCGTAACAGTTTATACAGTTGATCGAGGTGAGGATTGAATGAACTTATAAAATACTCTGGATCGCCTAGGCACAAAAGACTTGTAACAAGAGGGTATCCAACCTGTAAACGTTGTTGACGACGAATTCATTTGGAAAATCTTTTACTTACGTTAACATGCTTGCTTTGCCTCTCCATCCAGTGCATAAGTTGGTTCCGAATTCGAAGAACAGCATCATACCACAGAGTCAGTGCCTGATCAACTCCTGCAGGCGGCCACTGGCCACTCCCACCGTCTGTGAGAGGGGCAAGAACACTTGAAAGCATGTTGCACAGCGCATGATGGAGCTCACTCTTCTTCTTCGCTGGCATTCGATTCAAAGGATTGGCTTTGGCTACAAATGACGTGCTAGCATTAAGTCCTCCAAGTGATGAAACCTGCAAAAAAAAAAAAAAAAAAAAAAAAGGATTACCCAATTGACTACAGAACCATTTCCTCAAATACCCCGAGCTTGAGATACCGCATTCCATGGATGATGCTTAATGTTTCGCTTCTTGTCACGTTCGTATCAATGCGACGAGTATTCAACTCGTTAAAGAAACGCTCAGTTATGGAGCTAAATCTGTATAGTTTCATGTTATAGTTAACACTGAAGGAATTTCAACTTGCCTTATTCTGGACAAAGCGCCAAGCAATTGAGCAACGAGGTCCAAGAGCAATCCGCGAAGATCAAATAAGGAGGGATAATCTGTCTGGCTAACAACTCTGAAATAAAAGACCGTGTTGGTTCATCACAGTTTATCAGAAAAACCAGATACCTGTCGGCATTGATAAGCCAATCGAAAACAAAATTCTCCAGACCATTCCACAGTGTTTCTGTCCATAGAAGAATGTATGAGTGTCTAGGACTTGGAAATAAGGCACTGGTGAAATACCTGTGAGCCCTTCTTGTGGACAGCACTCCACAAAACGTATACACGCTGAGCAAAATATACACTCCACGGCCAGCTACACGAATCTAAGTTTCAGCACAGGAAGAGAGAAAAAAGTGGAGTTCCAACTCACTTTTCTTTGAAAAGTCGAAGCATCGTTGGCTCCTTTCGGGGATTCACTGCTCATACGAGACAGCATTGCCGATCACATCAATTCTTGTTCGTTTTAGATAAGACCACTCACCTTTCTCTCCACTTAAGAAGTGCCTCCAGAAGAGGTATTGGAGTGTGACGAGCCACCATAGCCAGCGAATCCAACACTTGCTCGTAGGCAGCATCAGACGCACGAAGATATTGCCCATCCTAGAGAAAGAAAGAAAGAAATTCCAAGCGAAGATCAATCACTCGTCGATCATCCCCGAAAGATTACCTGTGCCTGCGCCGTGTCGATCCTGCGTCGCGCGAGCGGCAGAAAGCGCTGCAGCAGCGCATCCACAATCAGCTTGGCCGCTGTGGCAGCCGGCATTGCGGCAATGCCGATCCCCCGCGGGCACGGTACTACGGCATTTTGAGATGGAGCAGCAGCCTCCCAGCTCGCAAAAGCGCCTGCCAGTAGAATCCACGCCCGTAGCGCATTCTCCGCAAGAATCCCTGCCCCGCTCCCAAACCCTAGCTAGAGCTCCCAGGATCCACGCCGGGATTCAGCCCTAGCGCCAGATTCCACCACTCAAGCCAAAGCTCTCGCGCGCCCATCAGCCGTCAGATCGCCCCAGCCCCGGATTAGGGCAAAAACTGTTTAAAGCCAAAAGAATACTCTAAAGGCAAAGGCTAGAATATTCCAAGAGCAAAGGTTAAAGGTCGAGACTAATGATCGAAAGATTTATTTTTGCAATCTGGACAAGATGGTCTTGGCTAGTTCGTTTCTCGGGATTTCCTCTTTTTGTTTGTTTTCTTCCTCTTGAGATTTCTTCACGACAATCTCCTTGAGCTGCACCACGCCTTTCTTTTCTTCGTCCTCGCCAACGACGACGACGAAGGGGATGAAGGATTTGCCCGCCATATCCAGCTTGTTCTTGAGCTTGGACGTGGCGATGGCGTCAAACTCTACGTTGAGTGACGCAGCCCACAGCTCGCTCGCCAGTCGAAAGGCTTGCTTGTGCATGTTTTTGCCGAGGTAGAGTATCAAAACCTGTGTCTCTTTCGTTCTTGCAACCTGTGCGAGAGAGGGAGAGAGAGTAGTGATTGTAATGAGAAATCCTGAGAGAAACACGCACCTTGTTTGCCTTCTCCCGCTCTTCGAGTATGAGAAGAACGCGCTCGATTCCCAGGCTAAGTCCCACAACCGGCACTTCCTTGCCGCCAAACATGCTCACGAGGTTGTCGTAGCGACCACCAGCAGCAATCGATCCAACCTTCAAAAGAAGTATACAAACAAAGATGAAAAACAGAAAGAAGAAACGACGAGATTACCTGAGTGGAGCCTGTGAAAACGGCCTCAAAGATGACACCGGTGTAGTAATCCAGGCCTCGAGCAAGGCTAAGGTCGAAAACCACGCGATGCAAGCAGTTCCCAGCTTCCAAAAAGCCAAAGAGCGTCTCCATGCCTTCGAGAACCTCTGTTGCATTCTGGGACTCTCCGAGATACGCGTTCAAGTAAGCAAGCATGTCCGTCGCATTGCCTTTCTTGGAGACTTGCTCACCGACTTTGTCAGCCACTTCCGGTGACAAGCCTTTCTCCTCCACCTGGTAGAAATCAAGCTCTTGTCAAACACACATGTAAAAACACGAACAAAAAGGCTCACCATTTCTGTTCGAACTTTGTCCCAGGGAGATTTATCCAGCTTGTCGATGGCGGAGCAAATGGACTTGAACTTATCTTCGGGAACTCCACAAGACGCGAGCACTAGATCCAGAAGCTTTCTGTGATTCACTTTCACCTGTGACAAAGATTGGAATCAAGCAACGAGAGAAAAGAAAAGCACGAAAAAGTATTTTCTCACCTGGTAGTCCCCTACGTCGAGAGAATCAAGCAGCTCCACCACGACCTTGATCACCTCGGCATCCGCGATCATGGCCGGGAACTGCCCCGCGATATCGAAGTCACACTGATAGAACTCGCGATACCTCCCCCGAGAAGGATTGTCACGCCGGTAAACTTTGCCGATCTGGTAGCGTTTCATGCTGGTCACCTTGTTCGATGCCAGATATCGAGCAAAAGGAACAGTGAGATCGTATCGGAGCGAAAGGAGCTGACCACCCTGAAAGACAGAAAAAAAATTGTAAGCAACAAACGGAAAGCAAAGTTTTTTTCACTAGCCTGATCTTCGAGGTTGTAGATGAGCTTTGAGTCCTCTCCATACTTTCCCGTGAGAGTTTCCCGGAGCTCAAACACGGGAGTGTCGAGAGAGACGGCTCCGTGCTGCTCGAAAACCTTGGAGACGATGCCAAACACTCTCTTCCTCACCATCATTTGCTCGGGCTTGAAATCTCGCGTGCCCTGCGAGAAAAAATCCCAAATGTCGCTCCCGCCCTCTCGAATCTAAGCCTAGCCATACCTTTGGAGGCTGGACGAGCTGTGGCTCCCTCGCCGCCGCCATCCTCCCTGGAAACCCTAAAACCCTGGAGCGCAAAATGGAGATTCTTGGCATCTTAAGACTAGGCATGTAAAACATTTCTTCTCTTGTAGAGACAATCTAAAGTTTCTATAAACTATAGATTTCATGCTTCCATTTCCTATGCTCTTGGACAATCTCTTCGACACTACGAGCTAAAATCTGCGTCAATGACTTCATCACCATCGCTACCATCTTTGGTTTCTTTCGTTCCCTTCGTTTCCTTCGCTTCTTTCGTTCCAGCTTGGCTATACAAGCTCTGGCCAATTTGCATCGCTTCCTGCCTCAATGCGGCTATGGCGTCCTTGATCTTGCGAGTGTCACCGCTCGACATCTCCACTTTCAACGCTTTCACTTTATCTTCCACCTTGCTCTTCACATCAGCCGGGACTTTGCCTCCCAGTTCCTCGAGCTGCTTCTCGGTTTGATACACCAGAGATTCCGCTTCGTTCCTGGCATCCACGTCTCCCCTCTTCTTTTCGTCCTCTGCGCGAAACCTCTCGGCCTCCTGGACCATTCTCTCCACCTAAAAGACCAAACTTTCAGAGAAAAGAAACGATGTAACAAGGAAGAGCTTACCTCGTCCTGAGATAGAGTGCTAGCTCCGGTGATGGTGATCTCCTGCTTCTTTCCAGTTCCTTTCTCGGTAGCGCTCACCGAGAGGATACCATTGGCATCGATGTCAAAGCGGACCTCTATCTGTGGTACTCCCCTCGGTGCTGGGGGAATGCCTTCCAGCCTGAAGCTTCCCAGGGACTTATTGTCCTTGACAAACTCTCGCTCTCCCTGGAGAACATTGATCTCTACGCTCGTCTGGTTGTCTGCGGCCGTGGAGAAAACCTCCGACTTGGTTGCCGGACGCGTCGTGTTGCGAGGTATGACCTTTGTCATGACACCACCCAGAGTTTCCAGACCCAGCGACAGTGAGGTCACGTCCAGTAGCACCACCTTGCTGACTTCGCCAGCCAGAATGCCAGCCTAAACGAAGGAAAAGAAAGATAAATACCATTCTTTCTCTTTTAAATGTGAGAATCATACCTGAACTGCAGCTCCCAAGGCGACCACTTCATCCGGGTTGACACTTAAGTTGGGAGTTTTCCCCGTCAGCCTCTTGACAACCTCTTGAACAGCAGGAATGCGAGTGGAGCCACCAACGAGAATCACCTCGTTGATGTCTTTAAATTCCAGCTTTGCATCCTTAAGCGCGTTTTTGACTGGTGTGCAGCACCTGGTGCAGAAAGAAGAGAGTGGAAAAAACAGAATGAACAATTTTCTCATGAGTGTTGAAAAACTACCTGTCTAGAAGATCAGAACAAAGTTCCTCAAACTTAGCCCGAGTAATCGTCGTGTCAATGTGCTTAGGACCATCTGAAGTGGCAGTAATAAATGGCAGGCTGATCGACACAGTTAGAAGAAAAAAAACGCAAATGTGAGAAGCTCTAATCACCTGATGCTTGTCTGAGTGAGTAACGAAAGCTCTATCTTGATCTTCTCTGCAGTCTCTGTCAGCCTTTGAAGTGCTTGCTTGTCCTTGAGAAGATCGATTCCTTCGTCTTTCTTGAAGTTGGACGCTAGCCAGTCAACAATTCTCTGTTTACGACGAAAAAGAGTTAAGAAAATAAAAAGATCTTAATTGATCTTCGTGGCACCTTGTCAAAATCGTCTCCACCCAAGTGCGTGTCTCCTGATGTCGACAGGACTTCGAAAACGCCATCACCAACTTCCAGCACTAAATCAAAACAGCACAGTGACATCATCAAACCAGTGCGAGATAGAGAGCGAAATAGTTTTGTATACCTGAAACATCAAATGTACCACCCCCCAGATCGAAAACCAAGATGGTCTCGTTGGTTTTCTTGTCGAAACCATAAGCCAGAGACGCCGCCGTAGGCTCGTTGATAATACGAAGAACCTCTAGTCCGGCAATCCTTCCGGCGTCGACCGTTGCAGTTCTCTGTGCGTCGTTGAAATACGCAGGAACTGTGATCACAGCCTTGCTCACTTTGTCGTTGAAAAAGTTGCAAGCATCGTCCACAAGCTTTCTCAACACCTAGATACAAAGACAAAACAAGATTAACACTAAGAACAAAAGGAAAATGCTATAGCTAGCCGAACACAAAGAAGAAAAAATCTAAGATACACGCATCACAAAATAGAAGGATAGAAAACCAAACACGGAACAACCAAGATCACGAAGCAAAAACTAAGATCATGGATGGAAAAAACATTATAAAACATCATGAAGAAAAACAAGATGCGAAACCACGAAGAAACAAAGGCAACAAAGAGTTTGAGCAAACCTGAGCTGAGATTTCCTCGGCAGCGAAGGTTTTGCCAGCGGCAGGGCAGTGGAGCTTCACATTTCCATTCTCATCGCTCACGACCGCGTAGGAGACCTGCTTGGACTCCTCGTCAACCTCGGCCATCTTCCTGCCGATAAATCTCTTCACCGAGGAGATGGTGTTGGAGGGATTAAACACGGCCTGGCGCTTGGCGATCTGGCCGACGAGCTTCTCCCCATTCTTCGTGAAAGCCACCACCGAGGGAGTGGTCCGCTGCCCCTCAGAGTTTGTGATGATCGTCGGCTTGCCACCCTCCATCGCCGCAACCGCGGAATTCGTGGTCCCCAAATCGATCCCCACGACCTTTTCTCGCAGATCGGCGGCGCTGGCCACCACGCCGGACTGCCGCCTCGTATTTCTAGCGTGGAGATGGAGATTTCCAGCCGGGAAGCGACGAGCAGCATTTCCTTGAAGAAATCTGAGCTTACTTGGCGATGGCGCCGGTGGCGACGGCGGCGAGAAGAAGACGCTAGCCATCTCCAACTCTGTCTTTAGAACCCTAGAAGGACTTACCAGACTGGCGAGATTCGACCTCTACGCAAGTCAAAAGCGTTGAAAGTTGGCGCTTCAGTAAAACGTGAAGTAGCGGGATGAATTTCATTGGTAATTCAAGAAGAAGAGAGCGTGAGCGTGGATTGGCGATGGCGGTGTGGAGCTCTTGCATGGCATTCCCATTGGAAGCGAAGGCGCTAGCACTCGAAACTTCCATTGCGGATCCGGGAGCCTCCAGATTATCTGCGACGCGGGACTTCGTGGTGAATCTTGGAGCTTTCGATCTATCAAGACGACCTTCTAATTTTCCTAGCAGGAGCTTATGCCAGATCAACGTCACCTGGAGGCCAAGCCCGAGTTTCTGGTTAGTTCAGTTTTCACAAGACGATTTAATCAATCTTTCTCACACACAAACACAGCGTTCTTTGCTAGATCGCTGTCAGGCATTCCAGGTTCACCACCAGGCCAAGCTCTAAGTTCTGGTTTTGGCATTTAATCTCATGGCTTCACCTTCTAACGTTTTATTCCTCTCAGCCACAGGACTTTCGGCCTGGACTGGACAAACGATTCTCAATCATGGAAAAGCAGGCCAAGCTTCGAGCGCTCGTTAGTTGATCTGTGTTTGAAGAACTTTTCGTTTTTAACTAGCCTCTTGCATGGCACAGGTCGTGCGCGTTTTTCAAAATCGCCACAAGCTCTCCTGCTAGCAGGCAAAGCTCGTACTGGTTTGTTACTCGTTCCCCCGAGAACTTTTCTAACTCGACACACTTCCAGACTCTAAATCACCGCGCTTTCTTGGGATAGAGCCATCAGGCTGGAACTCTCCACGTCCAGGTTAGTTATCGAAAGTACTCTCAAGAGCATAGACTATTGAATCATAGCGTCGTCATATCTATGGAGATAGCCATTATCTGTTAGAGGCTCTACAAACCCACGGGGACGTCTCTTCACACACGCGATAGAGAAACCATTAAGTACAAGTTGGCCTTAACTTGATTTTACCATCTATATAATACTATGACAGGACATCCAGGAGTTTTCACTGGATTCTTGGGTCTGCCCTGCAGGAGAACATCCCTTCTACATTCTGGTTTGTTGTTTTTTTTTTTCTCACTTTCTCCCTCGATTGACATATGTGCTCTGTCACAGATTTGGCGTTTGCAAAGTCAAGTCTAGTGACAGCTCGAGCCAAAGGTGTTAAAATATTAATCTTCGTTTCTTTTCTCTCCTTATTTTCTTTTTTCTTCTTTTCCAGCAACAGTGTATGAAGCCAAAGTAACGGATCAGTATCACTTCACGTCAACATTGTATGTCGACGCAGAGAGAAGCGGCTATATTGAGTTTGCAATTGACACTGGTGCTCTGGGAACAGTCATTGCTGGTAAAGACATGAACATTGTCTTTGGGCAAGGGCATGAGGCAAGCGATGGAGAGATCATAAGGCTTCAAGTGAACGGTGTGGATGTGCGAGCTCTTGTTGCATATGACAGCCCGTGCTCCGTCTTGGGGTCAAATTACTTCTTTGCTGCTAAAACAAGAATGTTACTGGACTTTTCTGATGCGGAGGAGTCGTGGCAGATCAGATTGATCGATCGACCAACACTGGAGACTGCTAGCATTCCAAGGTATGCTATTGGATTTATAAATTTCAAAAGTATGAAACATTGCTTTGTACAGAGGGGCTACAAGAGGGAAAATACTTGGTGGATTGCCTTGGCTTCTCGTGGAAATTGAGAACGGGAACACAAAGATTGAAGTCCCAGCTATTCTCGACACTGGTAATTGTCAATATTGGCTTCCACTTTCGCTGTCTAATGAAATCTTTGTCATAAATTCTAGGATCTCCTGGAGTCTGGCTGGCAAATTCAACCTTGAAATCTCTTGGCTTCACTGGCGAAGAGATATCAAACACAAAGGGAGGTTACAAGTCAGGCCTTGAAGTCAAAATGAACCAGATCTCTACCATAGCTCTGGAGTCTGCAGCTAACAGTGAGTTTGCAAACCTCAATCTGGTTGGCATTACTTTCCTTGCGGATGCGAGCGCTGTCGGAGAGATTGACTATGGATCGAGCTCTTTCTGGATTTGTCGAAAGCAATAATAAACTAGTGAATCTTTGTGGTTCCAAACTTCCAAAATGAGAGTTCTTTCGTTCCTCCTCCCTCAAGTAGCGCACGAAGTTGAGATCTTGGTCATCAGTGAAGGTCTGCTCAATCCATTCCTCGTGCTGCTTGGATCGCTCGTCCAACATATCCGAACACAAGTCCCAGAATTGGTCTCGAGTGAGAAGCGTCACAACCTGTGATGCTTTGGGTGTTATCCCAAGTTTCCCCACTGGTTCGTCAAAAACACCCAATGTGAGGCGTGCAAGTTCTGCTGCCCTCGAAACCTCGTGCCTCTCATTGCTGGAATAGTATTTGCTCTCCAACCAGTGCGTAAGCCTCTGTGGTGCATATCAACTTAATTAATGACAAATTTCATTGATTTTGTTTTACCTTATCAAACTTGTTAGTGGAAATCCGCCATTTCCTAGCAAAGCCCTACGCCCAATAGAAGACTATTTTCTTAAGGCAAGCTTTCTTTTGATTTATGTTCTCTGTGTCGAAACAAGCATTGAGTAAAAACACAACCTTCTTACTTGCAAACCTTAGTATATTGTGGGAAGGAGTGTCCTCCCAGCATCAAGAGCCATTTACAAAACCTAATGCAAAAGTTTTTTAGCTTTAACTAAATATTATTTTGAAGACCAAAGCCATAATATCCAAACAGCTTGGAGTATTCAAACTCTCCCAAATGTAAAAGCAATTATAATCAAACACTTAAAAACACAAGGGGAGAGAAATTTGACTTGATTCAAAAATAAATCTCAATCTCTTGCACTACTCAAATTTGCAAATGTGGAGCACTTATGTAAGTTTAAGAAAGAGACAAAAGCTCGAGAAGCTATTCCTCAAGCTATACTATAGAAGAAATGTTAACAAACTGAGGAAAACCTTTCTTAATGGAAATTGTGAGAAGGAGAAATTTTATTTGTGAGAAAATAAATTTGGTGTTAAAAATAAATTTTTACCATTTTGTATCAAAATAGAGTGTTATTCTTACTTATTAATCCAATTGATCAAATAAAGTTTATAATTATAAGCATGTTTGTAATTTATAAAAACAAGATTAAGTTATTCCAGATGATAGAATAACAAAGAATATGCTAGAAAGGATTTAAGAAAATTTATAAATTATAAACATGTTTATAATTTATAAATACAAGACTAATATAAATGAATAACAACTGTTAGATGGTAAAATATTCTAGAATATCCAAAAATATTCTTAGTATATCCACTACCATCCTGCTTATGAAAATTAAAATTAATTAAAACTAAAAATAATGATTTAAAATAAGATATCTAAATTTTATTAATGAAAATTTTAATTTAAATAATTTGGTAATGAATATACCTAAAATATACTTAGGGGTTTAGGGTTTAGGGTGTATTTTGAGTGATAGGGTTCTCCCTCACATTTGTTTTTGCTCCATAAAATTTTACTCATAAAGGTTCTTACAGGCAGCGGCCGCAGAAGGTACCATATTTCGGATATTTGGTGGTGAAAAGATAAAGGTGAGGTAGTTGTCATTTTGTTGGTTTTTTCTAAATCGAGGATTTGCCGATCGAGTCAAAAATGCTCACGAAATCGCTGGACGAGGCTCAAAGAAAAGTCGAAAACTATTATTTTGAAGCCCGTAAACAGCTGTTCGAATACGATGAGGTGCTCAATAGTGCCGCTTATGATGGATTACTCTCAATTGACAATGGATGACATTCTCAATGTACGTTTGCCTAGAGTTAATCCTTTTACTTACGTTTTTAACTGTCTCCGTGCATCAGCAACGAGCTTCCAAAGGAAGAATGGGATTTATCAAAGGGTTCTCCCTCACATTGGTTTCTGTTTAGAAAGCTCCACAATATTTTACCCAAAAAGGTCACGATATTTGTCATAATAATAAAGGTCAGTTCTACTGAGAAAGATCAAAAGAATGTGTGATAGAGGTTTGTTCTGTTTCCTTTTCCGACATGGGAACTCTTTTGTACGCTCAAGCTGTTCCGGTTCCAACTCTCGTGGAGCAAGGCGTGACCAAAGTTCCAGAAGCTTACGTTTGCTTCTCTGATGGATTCAGTGGTGAGGTCCAGGACGAGGAGAGAATCCCAGTGATAGATTTGCTAGATCTGGAATCCAGCCATGGCAGGCAGCGAATAGTGGGCGAGATCGAGCGGGCTTCCAGGGAGTGGGGATTCTTCCAAGTCACAAGCCATGGCGTTTCAGAGGAGACCATGGAGGGGATTGTCCGAGCGGCACTGGAATTCTTTGGACAGCCGATGGAACAAAGGATGGAACTGTTTAGTGGCGAGCCAAAGATGAATGGAACCAGATATGGGACGCGCTTGGATGAAACTGGCGTCCAGGACTGGAGGGACTTCCTGGTGGTCGGGAAGTGCCATCCACTCAGTGAAGAAACGTTCGAAACTTGGCCAAGCAATCCTCCATCATTCAGGTTTTCTTCTTCTTTTCCTTCTTTTCTCTTCATTCTTTCTTCCTTCTCAGGAGCGCAGCACTGAAGTATTGCCAGGAAATCCGAGCTTTGGCCTTCAAGGTGATATCGCTTGCGTCCGAGAGCCTGGGATTACGTCCCGATCGTCTTGAGAGAGAATTCGATCCATTAGACCAGCTTTTGCTCTTCAACAGGTACCTCCCTTGCCCCCAGCCGGATCTAGTGCTGGGAGTTCGCAGCCACTGTGATCAAGGTGAAAGTTCACTTGTTTTTCATTCTCCTTCGTGTTCTTCATTGTTTCTTTGTTCTCCAGGTCTCCTCAATATCCTTTTGATCGACGATGTCCCCGGCTTGCAAATGAGGAAGAACGAAGAATCGCCATGGGTGCCAATCAGCACAAACCGGAGAGCGCTCGTCGTCAACTTTGGAGATCAAATGCAGGTAAGAAAGAAAAGATGAAACGGAATGGAAGTTTCCATATTACCTTTGTTCCAGATCGCAACCAACAAGCGTTACAAGAGTTTTGAGCACCGAGTCTTGGCTAATCCCGAAAGAGCGAGGCTCTCCATTTCCAGCTTCTTCAACCCAGCGGTGGAGGCGACGATCAAGCCTCTACCGGAATTCGTCGACGCGGATCATCCATCCCGGTATCGCCCAGTGAGCTTCGGAGAGTACGTGAAAGTTTACATGGCCCGGAGACTGAGGAAAGGAACGCCGGAATCGCTCGAGAGCTAGTTTTTCCGGAGAAGCTCCAGGCATGTCAAGCACGAAGTTAAAGTATCTATGAGCTGCCAAGGAAAAGCAAAGGTTGCGCGTTTGTGTTGAAAAAGAAAACATGAAACTTGGCCTACCAGTTTTAGTTGCGCAACATCTCTAGTTTCGTCGATGGCTTTGCGCAGCTCCTTTGACAAAACAAATACCAATCAAATGGGATTCAAGACTCGATACTGATCTTACCATGATTTTGACTTCCACAGTGCTTATCACTTCCGGTGACCAATACTCCTCAGACACCTAGAACAAAAGAAAAGTGGAATGAGAAAATGGAAATGAGTTGCGACTACCTTTGGAAGCAAATGTGGAGGTTGATCTCTATCTCTCCAAGGTGCCGCGCTCGAATTCCCATCTCTTCCATCTTCTTCACCAGCCTCAATCTTCTCGATCTTCACAGCCTTGTCGACCTTGGCAGTCTCATTCTCACGCACTACCCATTGCTGGCAAGAAACGCAATACATCCTCTTCTCCCTAGAGACGAAGCATCCAAAATTACTAAACCGTCGAATAGAGACACTCACTTGTTCCTCATCAGTGGCGTCAAACACGCCGGACAATGCTCGCCGAGAAGCGCCCATCCCTGCAGCATCTTGGCGGCGATCAGCGCGCTGGCGCCCTCGCTACGCTCCTCCATTTTCCACACACCTATAAACCCTAAGTCCCTGTAAACCCTAAAACCTAATACGATATAGCTATAATTCCTACATTCCTGTTTACTTCAAAACCTTGTTTACAACACCGCTTCAAATAAGAAAGCAAAAAAAAAGAAGAAAAAAAAAAAACCCGGGAAGAATCATAATATACATGTTAGTTGTAACAGTTCATGTCACGCGGAAGTTGAGATTGCCACCTACGAGCAAAAAAAACCAAAAAAAAAAGAGAGAAGGATCAGAGAACTCTATCCTGGAAACCAAGAGAGACTATACCTCGACAGCAAGAAACTGGCAAGAGGGCTCAAACCCGAGCTCTCGGACGACTCCAAGTTTGGCTGCCCTCTCTGTTGTCCAGATTTCGCAAAATCAAACTGTTGGGTGGTGGATTGCAAATGCCCGTCTCCGGCACCTGGGGGATGATCTACTACCAAAGCTTTGCGAGCTAAATCCTGCAACGTTTTTACCGAAGGATCCTCAGCGCTGCCACTCAAATGAGACGAAGATCATCAAGTCCACCAGCAAACACCAAAGTTTTTAAAGTACCTTCCCAGTCTCTTGAGTAATCTTGTCACTAAAACTTCACATGCTCCGGGTGCCATTCGTTCCAGATCGATGAGCGCGTCCGCCGCATCGGCGGCGGCACGCAGCGCAGACCCCTCTGATTGCTCCGCGGCCGTCTGCATGCGCACCATTCAACCTGGGAATCTAGATAAAAGGCTGCGGAGTTTCTCCCCGATATAAAAATCCAGACCTCTTTCAGAGCCGGTATGAGCAGCAACGAAAGCGCTGGAGATCCTTCTGTGATGAGAGTGCGAGCGTGCTCTTCTTCGCCTGAAGATAAACGAACTTTCGGAACGTCCAAGTATGAAGATTTCCTGTAGCAAAGTCGATGCTTATCAAGCCAGCTCAAAAGCGAAGGAACCATCCGTGTTACCGTCCAGGGTCGGCACTTGTCGATGGATCCGTTGTCACAACCGGGTCTTCTCTCCGTTTCGACGATGACTGCTTCTCGCGTCCCATCCCTTTCCTTGAGCCTGATTGCAAAGCTGCCTTTGCCTGGTACCGATACTCCAAAATCAATAAGCCTTGCAACAAACAGAATATATCTAACCTCTGCAAGGTTCTTCGCGCTGTCCTCCTGAAGGGATGACTCGCTCCGTTCCAATTGAGGCTGATATCGTGGTGTCTCGCTATTTGACGTGGACTCGCTCGATTTTTCTCTGGCCACAAAAGTGCCGCTGTCAAATATCGGTGAGCTCGACTCACTTGCTTCATCAGGATCATATGCCTGCGTGGTCCAACCGTAAGTCCAAATGCCACAAAACCAAGTACAAGACTCATTACCAACGGAGAACCTTGTGATGATAACGCTGCTAATGATGGACGATCTCTGGGAGACCGGTGGATGACCATGGTTCCGGAATTGTTAGACAGCTGAAACGCATCTATCAGCCAAGCAAGCATTCAATGTTGGTACTTACTTCTCCTTGACTGTCCAAGGAAGTCTCTGGTTCTTGAGCCGCTGCTTGCTGCTCGGTAGAGCTTGAGGCAGATGTTCTGTGCCAGTCATGAGATCTGCTTGAAATTCGTGGGCTCATATCTCCTTCAAAACTTTCCACTCGGTCGTCAAAACCAAATGGGGTTCTTAATCCACTACGAACGGTCCCGGTGCCTTGTGAAATTCCTTGAATCGTTCCAGTCCCGAAATCCCAGCTAGCATTTCTCATTGCCTTTGTCAGACTGCGGAAGGGATAACATTGACAATTGAAAATTAAAACACGGGAAGCAAACCTGAGTAGGTGAGACTCTCCATCCTTCGCGGCTTTTAGTCCTTTCGGCTTCTCGACAGTGTCCTGCTCGTACATGTGTTCCGATCGAGGTTTTCTTATGTGAACTTTAGGTCTCTCTCTACAGTATATGTTGGTTAGTCCATCCATGTGTCGACCAGGAACTTTAAGACAAACCTGATTCGTTCGAGCAGTCTAGGACTTTTACGCGCATTTCTTACAAAACGGTGTTTTAATAGCTCTTTAGCACTAGCCCTCTGCGGTACCAAAGCAAAAGTTTGTTACCAACAACAATGGGAAAATCAATACCTTCTACCTCTGCTGGATTTTTTTTGAGACACAAAGAAACGAACTCCTTCATTGGGCGGGAAAAATGATCTTCGAGCTGCATATGCCGAAAATTAAATGCTAAAGCGTTTTAGAAAGAGACGCACCTGTGGCGGATTATTTTTAGGAATCAAAAAAAGAACTCTCATGGGATGTAAATCGGCAAAAGGCGGTTCACCCTTTGCCATTTCGATGGTAGTTATTCCAAGGGACCATATATCTGCCTGTCAATGAAACAGATGAATGAGCCGTACTGCTAGAACATAACATACCTTTTCATTATATCCATCTGAATTTTGGATCACCTCGGGTGCCATCCAGAATGGTGTCCCGACAAATGTCTGATTTCGTTACCGAGTTAGCTTCTTCCTTATAAAAAGGTGTATCTTAAACTTACTTTCCGCTTGGACACAGTACGTGTGAGCTGAGCAGAAACCCCAAAATCTGCAACCTGTTTTATAAAATATGAGTACAATCACGACCTTCTAAACCACGCAGTTACCTTCACATCACCATTTGCCGTAAGGAGTATGTTTGCAGCTGCCAGAACATTTTATACAGAAATTGCAATGAGGTCCAACGAGGTCCATTATGCAAACTTTTACCCTTTATGTCTCGGTGGATTTTGCCTTCGCTGTGCAGGTAATCTAACGCGTGGAGGAGATCCCGAATGATGCAGGCTATAGAGAGCTCATCCAGTGGGTTTCCCGTTTCAAGCTGTATCCAGAAAACAATCTTTCGTCACTAGACTAAACAGCAGCCAAACTCACCAAGTCCGATACAGATCCACCAGCCATGTACTCCATAACGATCCATAATTTTGTTCCATGCAGGAAAGATCCATAATACTCCGTAATGTATGGTGACCGGCATTGAGACAGCACTGAAATTTCCTGAAACGCGAAATCAAAACTTGAGCTTATGTTCTTCAAAAAAATAAAGAAAACAGCAGCTACCTTTTGGATTTCGTCGATTTCATCCTCACTGCGATCAGGAAATAGTACAAAATAAGTAAAGAGGAGGATCGAAAGAGGAAAAAAAAAGATGGAAGAAAGAAGGCGAAAGAACTTACGCTTCTTCGAGATCAATGACTTTGATAGCAACCTCCTTGTTGAGCTCCTTGTCAAAGCTGCGAGCAAAGAAAACCAATTCACGAAAATTAGGGCTCCAAGACAAGAATGATAGATCCAAAACCTAGCAATCGATCTGCAACGCGAGCAAGGAGGAGCGAGAACTAACCCCTTGAAGACGTCGCCAAACGAGCCCTTGCCAATGAGCTGGAGATTATCAAAGCGCGAATCGATTCCAGCGGCAGCGGCAGCGGCGACGGCAGCGGCGGCAGCAGCCGAGGACGAGGAAGAAGTCCCAGCGGTGGCGGCGGCAGTGGCGGCACCTACATTCGACATACCTCCGGCCTAGGTCCGATTTCTCATCCAAGCCAGGCGCCACATGAATTGATCGAGCTGGAAGCTGCGCCTACACTCCATGGGATCCGATCCATCCACCGGCGAGAGGGATTTCGGGGCGGAGAGATCAGGCGGCCCCGCCCTGCCAGTGTCGCCCTGCCATATATTCTTCTTCCATAAAATCACAAACCCAAAACCTTCCTTGTGCCCTTGTGTTCTTCTTTATAATATTTTTATGTAGGCATTGGAGATTATAGGTGGAGCTTCTCTATGCCCAGACCATGACAAACTAGAACAGTAGTTCTTCTTATATAACTTCCACTCCCCCACTCTTCCAAGTAAAACTCTCCACTATAATCATTATTTTCTCAAGGTTTGTGAACGAATTGATTGATTGACATTGTAGTAGTGTTTTCCACATTGTAGCTGTGGAAAAAGCTCTTTTTCCTTTTCTTCTTTCTTCGTGTTTTTTTAAAGTATTTTCGCTCTTCCTCGTGCGATCCCTGCAAGGATTTCTTCGAGAGACGTCGCCATGGATTTTATAAGCTGCACTTCAGCGTCCCACTTATCGGGCATCTGCAGCTCGGACAAGTTCGATTTGTTCTCTGGTGCTGATCGAGGCACGAGTTGCAGTAGTGGAAGTGCACTGCAGCAACAACAACCAGAAAAAAGAAAAGAAAGAACTAAGTCAAGTTGCAGCACCGAAAGCAAAGGAAAAGTGTTCTTCCTTACAGCAAGGTAAAGTGATGACGTTCCTCGGCTGCAAACGCGAATGCGAGCAAATCAAAAAGAAAGAAATCGATGGGAAGGGCTTACTCTTGTAAAGCAGATTGCACAAATGCTCTTGTCTTTCTCTTGTTCCTGAAAACCAACAAAGTCAGTCATCGGAAGAGACATCGATCTAGGAAGTTTATGGAAAAGGAAAAACTTACCAGGAGATCTACCAGGCATTCTCCCTGCTGCTTAAGCAGTGCAACCTCGGACTGGAGCTGCATTCGCTCGGCTATTGCGACTTCCTCACATTCGTTTTTCATTTGCATCACAGCCTCGATTTTCTCCAGGGCAGCATTCCTGAAGAACACGCATGCTTTTAGAAGGAAGAAAAACTAGAGAGTTGCGATAGACGCACCGTTCGTTTTGAACAACAGTATGGATAGCCTCATCAATTATGCTTACTAGTTTCAGTGCAGACTTCCGCATGGAACTCAGGCGATGAAACGACGCCTTTGTTGCTATCTCTCGATTCACAAGAAACTCGGAGCTGGGAAAAACAAAAACAAAAAGCTTGAGAAAGCTGTAAATTCGATGGCTGGCGATTTACGCTTGTTGCACGTCTCTCATCATCCCGAAAGCCTCGGAATTCTCAAAGCCATAATCCTCAAAGCCATGGGCATCCTAACGAATGCATGAAGAAATAGAGACTAAATGAAAGGACATTGGGGATCAAAACCTGCGCTACTGTAGCGATTCCGTCGCTGGCGTAGAGCCACTGAGTGTGGGCATGATCCAGACACTCTTGAGCATCCAGCCATGCCTCCTCCTCAGCTGTGGCGGGCCGCGATGGAGCGCTGCCTTGCATTCGCGAACCCTAAGGCGGGAACCCTAGACATTTGAATTTATTCTAGGGTGAAAAGGGGAGATCAAAGGGGAAAATGGAAAATAGACAGTTTTTGCGGTGTTAATTTTGCTATTTTGCTTTGTATAATCCTGAGAAAATGCCCACAACAAAACATCAATTAAGTTTATCCCTACCTCAATTTTTGGATTGCAAGTTTGGATGTGATAGATTCTGATCGTTGGTTTGCTTTGCGGGAGCTGTGAAGGGCAGCATTTTCCCTATGTTGCTCCTTCCAGAAACATTCCATACCCGAATCCACTCAGCACAAGGAATCACATATATGATTTTGTGCAAGAGGAATCCTTTATGGACAGCCGCATTGTCGCCTCTTTAGCTGATATCATTTGTGGAAGCCCTCTCCAGACTGTACTTCGCTCCACTAAAATATACAAATACTTGGAATTTGCTCTTTCAAATTACCTATAATAAGAATAACAATATCTGAATGCAAAACCATGATTTTTGCGTTGTATGTGCGCAACGTTCAAGCCCCAAATTTTGCTGACTGCGGTGTTTTCGTGCCCGAGCAGGGAACAGTATTACCTGGATTGATCAACTCAGGCTGCCATAAGAATGTGCACAGGGTTTGTAATGCCATTACAAAGGTGAAGGGGAGAAGGATAATTTTGAGAGATCCGATTCGGAATGAATGATTCTGCAAATGCCCAGAAAGGGCATTATGTTGAAGGAAAGGAAGTTGGACAAATGATGCTCCAGAAAAAAACTTGTCTCATGCAAAACACTTGTTACAGCATCCTGCAAAATGAGATAGTGAAAAAGGTGACTTAAATGTATTCATTGCAAGCTGGAGCAAGGCACGGCATCTTGGATCTCTATGCTTTCAGCACATACCCTCAATAGTCACCTGTTGAACGAGTAGAGTAGTATTTCACACATTAATCCAGCACTCCAAATGCAAAACCCACCATCAAGGGGTGCTCCACCTGCACTCAGAACTTATATTAGGATTGTGGAAACAGGAGATCGGCCCAGTGTTGCAGTGGTGGTGGCCGCATTGAAAGCTTGCAGCATTTCACAAGACATAGAATCCGGCAAGAAAATCCACAGCATAGAAGCCAGGTTCGGTGAGAGAAGCCTTGACGTTCGTGTTGCGAGCACGTTAATAGACATGTACTCCAAGTGTGGAAACTTGGTTGAGGCCACCAGAGTTTTCCAGAGTGTCCGAGAGCGTAGATCAATCGTCGTTTGGAATTGTATCATCAAAGCTTGTGCCGAGAATCAAAATGGCGAGCTTGGCTTAGAGCTCTTCTCGCAGCTGAGAGAAGAAGCCAGAATTCCAGCAAATTTCGTGACTTATCTTGCTGCTCTACGTGCTTGCATTGCTCTTGCAGACAAGGAGAAGAAAACTCTTGTTGGTGCGGAGCTTGTCAAAGCACAGAGCTTGAAACGAGGGCGAGATCTACATGCCCAAGCAGCAGCCAGTGGTGATGATACACACATTTTCGTGGCAAACTCTTTGGTGGATATGTATGCAAAATGTGGGAGCTTGGGCGATGCTCGACGAGTTTTTGACAGGATCACGCAGCGCACGGTTGTTTCATGGACAGCAATGATCCAGGGGTACGCAGAGCTTGGCCATGGCGAACTTGCTTTGGATCTCTTTGACGAGATGCAATCGAGTGAATGCTATCCAAACAATGTTACATTTGTTGCTGCTCTCAAAGCTTGTGTGAATGTTCTAGTAACAAGGAAAGATCAAATGGAAAATCAACAAGAGAAGATTAGAGATGTTTTGAGAAAGGGGCGATCGATCCACTCTCAAGCTCTCAAACATGGCCATGGAAATCATCCCTTTGTAGCGAGCTCGCTGGTGGAAATGTATGCAAGGTGTGGAAGCATGGAAGAAGCTAATGGTGTGTTTGAGAAAATAATGACTCCCGACTTGGTGTCTTGGACAGGGATGATATCAGGGTACGCCCAGAAAGGTGACACAGGTAGAACGATTGAGTTTTTCTCTCGAATGCTTGACAAGGGGATTCAAGCTGACACAATCACATATGCAGCAGTATTACATGCACTGGCAGGAGCTAATAATAAGGTGGCAAAGGCTCAACATGGCAAACAAGTTGTTCTAGCAAGAGTTGTGAGGAGTGGGATTGAATCTAACATTGTTATGGGGAATTGTGTGCTAGATTTTTATGCCAAGTGTGGGGAAATGCTGGGCGCCCAGCAAGTTTTTGATTGTATGGTAGACAAAGACACAGTCTCTTGGAATTGTCTTATAGCAGGCTATGGTGAATGTAAAGAGGGCAAAATGGGATTGAAGATCTTTGAGATGATGAGAAACGAGGGATGGAAACCAGATGCTATCACTTACCTTGCCGTGCTCAAGGCTTGTGTGAGTCTAGCTGAGAGTTTAAGCAAAGAACATGAGAAAGATCACGAGCTAAGTTCCAAGCTCAAAGAATGCCATAAGATGGAAACTGACAAGCTACAATCAAAAGTGAGAGAAATCCATCGTGAAGCTTGGAAGGATGGACTGGAATGCAATGTTTTTGTCGCTAGCCGGCTTGTAGAAACATACGCAAAGTGTGGGGATATGGAAGACTCTCGCAAAGTGTTTGAAAATATGAGACAGCGAGATCTAGTGTCCTGGAACTGTATGATCACGGGTTATGCCGAGTGTGGACAAGAAGAAATGGCTCTGAAGCTCTACTATAGAATGCGCGACGAAGAAGGAATTCCTCCAAATCCAGTGACTATCTTGGCTGCTCTAAAGGCCTGTGCTGCCTTGTACGTAAACCAATCTCTCGTGGATAAAAATATGTGTTTGGAGAAAGCTGGAGAGTTTCATTTGGATGCGAGGCGATATGGATTGGAAGAACATGTTTTTGTAGCGAGTAGCTTAGTGGATACTTACGTCAAGTGTGGAAGCCTGGCGAAGGCTTGCCAAGTTTTTGAAAAGATTTCCAATCCAAATGTGGTGGCATGGACTTCGATCATCCGAGGCTATGCGGAGGGTGGTGATGCCGAGAAAGCTCTCGATCTCTACTCGAGAATGCGAGCTTCCGGAGTATCATCTGATGCCACAACTTTCACGGCAGTTCTCAAGGCCTGTGGAAACTATGGAGCTCTTGAAACTGGTAGGAAGATCGAGGCCGAGGTCCGAAACGCTGGACTTCACAAGAACTTGATGGTGGTGAACTCAATCATCGATTTCTACGGCAAATGTGGAAGCATTGCTGAGGCAGAAGAAAGATTTTCCCTTGTTGGGGACGAGGAGAAGGACTTGATCACTTGGAACTCGATGCTGGATGGATACAGTCGCCAGGGAGATGCCGCCAGTGCATTTAATTTACTAAAGAGTTTGGAAGAACAGGAGCTGCTGGAACCAAACGAGATAACTTTCTTGAGTGTTCTCTCCGCTTGCAATCACGCTGGTCTCGTCACGGAAGGAAAGAGCTACTTTGAGAGGATGGTGACGCTGTATGGATTGAAACCAAGTCTCAAACACTATGGAGTGATGGTGGATTTGCTTGGGCAGGCGAATAAGTTGGAGGAGGCACTGGCTATGGTGCTGGAGCTCGGGGACAGAGAAAACGTTGTACCTTTGTGGATTTGTTTGCTGGATGCGTGCTGCAAATGGAAGAACGATGCTATTGGAAAAACTTGTTTCGAAACGCTGCAAAGATTGGAGGGACTGGGAGTGGTGGACACAAGCTCTGGAAGCTATGTGTTGATGTCAAACTATATATGCTCGCGTCAAAGGTGAAAGAGAAAAGAGGTGTGCTTGATTATAACTCACTGTTCAATACGTCTTTGTTTCTTTTGTCTTTTATGAAATCTTCCCTAAAAAGTGGTGCGTTAAACCTCCATAATATTTTACGTAGACCACATGTTTTGGGCCCCAAAAAAAAGCTTCGCGAAATGTGGAGTACCTCTTCGACTTTTCTTTGTGAAAAATTACACGTTGTCCAAGTCCAAGTCAATCTGAAGTCAACTGTAGACTATAAAGGTCAAATGAAATTTGATCCACTCCTCAAGGGCTCTCTAATGAATGAATTCCCAGCGCTTCTCGTCCCAGACAATGGCAGCGACGATTCCCTGCACAGCCTCTTGCATCTGATTCGCCAAAAGAGGGCTTCGATCCGGGGAAAAGTGGTGGAGCACGGCGCACTTCTCCTCCGGGGATGGAAGCTGGCAAATGCCCAGGATTTTGCGAGCGTCGTGGAGGCGCTGGGCTACACCAGCATGGACTACAAGCACGGCGGGGGCGCAAGGAAGCACATCCTGGGCCCCGTGTTCACGGCCAACGAAGACCCCGTGGACAAGCGAATCTCCTTCCACAACGAGATGGCCTATGTAAGTTACTTGGCTCCTCAAAGATCTGAGTGTAAGAAATCCTTGATTTTGATCGAGTTTCTCCATGAACAGCTCTCTGTCTATCCGGACGTGGTCATGTTCTTTTGCGAGCAGCCATCGCCGAGAGGGGGAGGAACAGCTCTCGTCAACGGCGAGCTCGCGTACCAGAGACTCGCAAAAGAGATGCCCGAGATCTTCAATCTCTTGCAGGAGAAGCGAGTTTGCTACCGCACCGGACTTCCAAAAAAGTGGGAGGAAGCGTTCCAGACCACGGACAAAGCCATTGCGCAAAAGAGGTATACCGAGAAGGAGCTAGTGTGTAACTTTTCGATTCTTTTGATAGAGCTGAAGCGATTGGAGCTCGACTGGAATGGAAAGCCGATGGATCCGATCATGACGAGCCGGTTGCTTATCGAGGGCCTTTCTCCGCGACAATCAAGCACCCGATCAAAGGCTCCATGGCTTGGTTCAACAGCATTTGCCTTGTCAAAGACGAGCCTGTCACTCGCGGAGTTGCGTTCGGAGACGGATCGCCCATCCCGGTGGAAGAACTTGACAAGATAGCTGCGGTGCTGCAAGAGGAACAAGTCGTCGTGGACTGGCAAAAAGGTGACATTGTAATTGTTGACAATTTGTCGGTGATGCATTGCCGGTTGCCCGGTGAACCGCCCCGTGTTGTGCTTGTATCACTCGTTAAAGGTTACTAAAGTTATAAACAATAATGCAAAGTTTATATATATACATGCATACATGCATACATACATACATATATATATATATACATACATGTATATATACATATATATATATAAAAATATAAATATATATATATATATATATATATATAAAATTTAAACAGCCAAAAGAAGAACAAAAGCGAATAATACAGTTTTGAGAAAACTCCAAAAATTCCTTCATACAATGTACAGTATAGACGCAAGGTCTACAGGACAAAATAAGAAAAAAAACAAAAAAAATCAGTGGTGCATCGGACGGTGGTGGGGCGAAATCAACGGCGGAGGCGACACGGACGTAATGTCGTGAATGCTGTTCCTCCTCTTGTCCTTGTTCTTGGACGCTAGGCGATTGAAATACTTTTGCGCGTGGCTCGCCACCTGCGTGGGTGTTCTTGTGATCACTACTTTCCTGGAGATACTTCGCCAGTCTCCCTTGCCATACTTCTCCAGGCCGATCAAGAACAGCCTATAGATCACACAAGTGGAAAAATGTAAGCACGATGATCGATCGATCGAAACCGCAGCTCCAATCAACTTACTTGTGCTCGTCCTCGCTCCACGGGATTCCTTTCCTTCGCTCTTGCGGGGGGTGATCGCTCGTCCTGTGTACGATGGAAGCAGGGATTTTCCTGCCGGGGCTGCCGCTGCGATCCGGGGAGCCCTGCGGAGGAGCTTCGATGTAATTCGGAGGCGCCACAAGGCCGGCCTCGATCGCCGCCACGTCCTTGACGAGCATATCATACTGCTGCTTGAGCTCCCAGCCCTGCTTGCCCGGTAGATGGAATTTCTCCCAATTCGGCTCCCCCGATCCAAATTTGTGAGCGGACACCGATAGCGCCGACTCAAACAGCTTGATGTCAGCTGCGCTCCACGCCGGCGGCGCGATCCTCAGCTCCTCTGGCATTCCGGTGCTGACCTAAATCGCTCTCAAAGAACCGATCGATCGATCGATCGCGCCTCCGGTACCTCGATCACTCGCTCGGTCGCTCGCTACGCCCTAGAACCCTAGAATCAATAATTTACGGGAAAGAATCTCCTACACAGCCCAGATTCCCTGCCTGGAACAAAGAATTTTCCTTTCCGACCTAGCACAGTTAAAATAGAGCGCTGGGAATATCCCCCTTACTTTATCCTGGCGCCCTTATCCAAAAAATAGCACGTGGAGCTCGGGGCCACGTGGTAACAGTTAGGGCTGACGCGGTGGATGAGCTTGCCAGATGGCAGCTCAAGATGGTGACACGCATGCTCGTGCGCGACGGCTAGGATCTCACGAGTTCCTCGCTGTACTTCCAGAGATGTTTCGCGAGTTCTGGATCGTTGGCATATTGGCTACAAGGAGCTTCTTTGCAATCCACGAAGTATTTCCCGGAGACGCCATTTAAATCTGGATGAGCCGCCACATAACAAGTAGTCGCTGCTCCCTGGGAAATCACAAAAGAAGAACAACAAAGAATGGTCGCGAAAGAAAAAAATGAATCGATCGAAGTACCTGTTCCATGGTTTTAAACATTCCAGGGAACGCGTTATACATATCTGTACGAAGAGAGAGAGTTAGAAAAAGATCGAAACAAACTCCTGGATCTTACACTCGGCGGGCTTGAAGAAGTTGCGAACAATGTTTGTGTGAATCACTCCGGGATGCAAAGAGTTCACTGTTACATTCGCTCCCCGTTCCTACACCACCGTAGAGTTATGCCAGAAACGAGGAAGTGACTAGTGTAGAGAAAACCTTAAGAAGACGTGCGAGCTCCTTCGCGTGTAAAACGTTGGCGAGCTTGGATTGAGCGTACACCGAGCACAACCCGTGGTAGCTGCCAGACGCAAAGTGTTAGAATTTGCTGCCAAAAGAATCTTACATGACTGGATTGCCTTTTTACGAGCGGCAAGGACTGCAGCCAGCTTTTCTTGTGAAGGCTGTCAAAATTGATGCCTCTGGCACTCTCGTGTTGTCTCGACGCGACTATCACGATCCGCCCCTCACAGTTGCTCTCCAAGGCAGTACTGATCATCAAGTCGAGGAGCAAGTTCGTGAGAAGAAAGTGTCCTGGAAACCAAAAAAATCACCATCGCAAAATCGCGAAAGAGTGGACCTTGAGCTTACCAACATGGTTTGTCGCAAATGTGATTTCCAAGTTATCCACCGTGAGCATGAACTCGCTGGACGCTAGACCTGCATTGTTGCTTCATGAAATCATCCACAGCGTCATGAGATGGGCTGATAGAAAAGCTATGAAAACAAAAAAGTGAGAAGAAACTTACATCAGGATATGCAAAGGAAGCTTGAGAGACTTAAACTCCTCCACAAACTCACGAACCGAGGCAAGAGAGCTGAGATCCAGGCGAAGAACAGTGAGCTGGACGTCCGGCTCCTCTCTCAAAATGGAAGCTTTTGCAGCCTCCGCGGACTTTAGATTCCGGCAAGCGAGAATGACATGGGCGCCTTTGATCGCGAGAGCTCTCACGGTCTCAAATCCAATACCTCCATTGGCACCTAGAAAAATTGTAGAGCTTCGAGTAGCAGCGGAAAAAAACGATCGAAAGGATCTACCTGTGACGATGGCGACCTTGGAATCCAGGCGGATCCCATCCATCACCTCCACCGCAGTCGCCCTCCCATCGAATAGAGCCATCAGCTTACGAGACCTAGTGAAGATCAGAAAAAGAAAAAAGAGAAAGGAGATTCAGTGAATATGCCGCCAAATACGAAAAAAAAGGAGCGTCCTTGGGATTGGGAAGTTTACTAGATGCGAAGAAGCCCGGGAAGCCCACTAAAGCCGTTGCTCATAGCCGACGAGATGACGAGCTTCTTCAAGGGACCAAAGGATTGCACCAAGTTAAATCCCGCAGCTCGAAGAGCGTTCACGGGCCCCGAGTCGGTGGAGAAAATCCGCTGGAAGCCGTCGAGCACGGCCATCATGGGAAGATTGGCAAACTTGCGAGTGTTCTCGTACTCGTTGAGAAGCGAGATCTGGAACAAAAGGGTGAGTTGTAAAACAGGCAAGAGCTTTGAAGGAGGTGTGCTTACCTCTCCCACGTCAAGACCACATCTCACTCCCTTTTCCAAGACTTTGATAAGAGCAGCAGCGTCTCCAAAGCCAAGGTTGACGCCCTGTCCAGCAAGAGGATGGACGGTGTGCGCCGCATCACCGACGAGAACCACACGGGGAGCAGCGTAGCTTCGAGCGTGAGAGAGCGAGAGCGGGAACGAAAGCCTGTCCGTCTCCACTGATTTCACCTTCACCGGGAACTGGAACTCTTCTGTGGCTGACGGCGCTAAGTTTCCAAAATACGGCGACAGGAACCTGTTCGTCAAAACCTCTGCGAATCCCGACTTGGGTGGCGGAGAGAAGTCCTTGGTCAGAGCATTGTTGACAGCGTTCACGAAGTCTTCGCTGGGTAGGCTCTTCAGCTCCTTTGCTTTCTTGGGAGTTGTAGACCAAACTATGTTGCTGAAATCGTCGTTCATTGGAAGTAAGGCCAGCGGACCCGTCGGTAGAAATCGTTGCCATGCCGTGGAATGGTGCTCATCAACTCGAACTGTACAAATCAGGCCCTCTTGCATGTAATCCCACCCAGTCGTACTGATGCCAGCCATTTTCCGAACCTTGGACTTCCCACCATCAGCTCCAACCTGAAAAGAAAAAGTCGAGATCGTGTCTTTCTTTTTCCTGAACCAAAGTACTTACCACAAGCCGCGTTGCTATGGAACGGCCATCTTTGAGACTTACATGAGCCCAGTTGGATCCCTCTTCTTCCGGCAAACCGCCTACTCGATGTGGAAAGATCACAGAATCAACTTGCGTTGGACATAACAGATCAACGTCTGAACCCTGATGAAAACAAAAGAGAAAGAAACACTGTCGATGAGTGATGGAGCTTTACGTTAAAGAAACCTGTAATCGCGCACGAAGAGAGGAAACGAGAATGCCATTTTCCACAACATATCTGTTGCGCATGAATACCGAAGGGTTAAAGTTTCACTTCAAACGACAACGAAAAGAAAATGGCATACCCGAGAACAGGCTCATCAACGTCAGCTGCGTTGTAGCGTGTATAACCCAGGCCAGCATAATCCCAGACCTGAGAAAGCAAGGAATTCAACACAAAACGAAACGAAAATTCAAAGGCAGGATAAAGAGAAATACCTGCATTGAGTCGAATGGAGCCACCTTCGACTTCAAATCATCCCATGTACCGATATCTAAAAAGCAAAGTTATTCCAAGACATGTAGCGAAGAAAAAAACTAACCTTTGCAAAAAGAGACAGTCGCGGGAGTGATGGAGCTGACGCGAGGGTCTGGGATATCGCTCTTCTTCACCTTATCAAAAGATATAGGACTTCCATCGATCACAGCGATCTTAAGTGATCTCGTCAGTGGAGAGCTCACTGATAGAAATTTCCACGCAAAGTAAATCCAGGGGTGAAGAAAAAAGACCTCACCTAGGCCACAAGCCACAGCCGCTCCGACCATTCCCCCGCCGACGATCACCACATCATAGGGCTCGCTGCTTGATTGGGAGCTTCCAGCCTGACAAAAAAACAGAGAAATCAAGGCGATTCACGACCTAGACACCAAAATCTCTTCTAACCCCTTGATCGATCGCAGCACTGGAGCTACAGAAGGAAGCGCCGCTGAATCGCTGAGAAAGGAGCGCTCGGGCAGCGATCGCCGGCGCTCCCGATCGAAACCTAGCAGCGCCTCTTCTCAACATGGCGCCACTCTTTTCCCTCTAGAACAGGATATTCCTTTCCCCCTTGAGAGCCTTTTAAAACTTTTTCTTTTCTACAGCTAGGGCGGAGCGCTAGGGTTTCGCGGAGCCATGGAAATGGTGCTGTCCGCCAGGCGCCGCAAGAGAATCCTCCTTCTCGCTGCCGCCGCTGGGGTCGGCGGCTACGCGTCCTACAAGGTATACAAATCGTCCTTCGTCACGCGCAAGAGGAGGAGAGTGGCATCGCTGATCGACAGTTTTGTGCAAATGATCGAGGTGTTTGCCATGGGAATCGACTCCACCTCGCTCTTGGCTGGCGATCTTAGAAATTTCCTCCTCTCGGACGACGACGAGGTCCCCCGGAGCCTCAAACAGGGCCTCAAGATCGCCAATTGTAGAGAATTCCAGGACGCTCTCACGGCCTTTTCTTCCTGCGTTTCAAGGGGGCTGGTTAGAAGCGTAGCGGATGCCGGTAGCGATGAATTCTCTGTTTCTAGAAGAAGGAATGGACGACAAAGCCACGAGAAAGGTAGCCGGTCCAGGGATGGAAATGCAAAGTTCCAGAATGGTGGTGAGGAATGCGATAGCAGCATGGAGTGTTCCAGTCTCAAGCAAGAAGATCGGCTCCCCGAGAGGGTACTCCACAAAATCTTCAGCGATCCTGGCAAGGGATTTGCTTCGGCGGTTCTCGGCTCAGTGGCTAGAAACACGATTCTCTCTATACTGGAAGGCTTACAGATTCAGCACAACCGATCGAACTGGGACTCGAGAGGATTGGCTCCAGATGTTTGTCCTCCGGAACAGGGATTAGAACAGCCATTTCCATTTGAGGCGTCGGATACTTTGCTCGACCTGTGCTCCAGCAACCGAGGAAGGTCCTTCGTCGCGGCTTGCATCGAGGCTTTTGTTGGCACGGCCGTGACGGTTTTCCTGGAGAAGACCAAGGACGTGAACTTTTACGAAGAGGTGGTGGCTGGGGTGACTAAGCCGAGCCACCAGGCTGCTGTGAAGGATCTCTTTAGCTCAGTTTGCAGCAGCGCAGTGGAGACCTTCGTGAGAACCTCGCACGAAGTTTTGAGCTCCAGTCCTCCCACAGGAGAAGCCGGCGCCCAAGAGCATCTCAAGAAAGAGGTCGTGAAGGAGCTTGTCAAGACAGTGGATTGTTTCAATGACGGCCTTGGAGCGGCTAGCGAGAGCGATTCCCTGGCAGCCTCCGAGAAAACTTGCAAGACAGCAGCTCCGAGCTCCTTGGAGGAACTGGAAGGCCAGGCCAACATGATACTCGTGACGAGCAGTCGCGGGAGCTCCAGGATCAACGTGCTGCCAAACTGGGTGGACGGGATCTCCAGGACGCTGGCGGTTCCCAGCAACAGGAAGCTCCTGATCGACGTCGCCGGGACGGTAACGTCGGAGGCGATCCATTCCTTCTTCGACGTGTTCCTGGGAGTCCTCTCGCCATATCTCCGGGGAAACCTCCAGCTCCGGGGCCTCACGAGGCGCGAGAGAGACGCCAGGAGCTACAACTTGGCGGAGGTGGTGGAGGACCATGGCGGACGAGAGAACCCGAGCGGCGGCATCACGCGCAAACCTGGGCGACTTGCCAGATTCTGGGCATGGGTTAGCGAAGCCTGCAAAGACGTGGCTGGAAGAATACTGGTGATGCTCACCTTGAGCTCCGCCATGGCCATGCACGTCCTGTTTGACGTACCAGCTCTAGAAGCATAGAACGATGTTGTATATATGGTAAATAATGTATGTGGTAAAATAATGAAATAATCGCTTTTTTTGTGCATGAAAGTTTAGGGTTCACAGGAAAGGTGATGGAAAGTGTGAGGTGGCGGTTTTTGGAACTAACAAATGTAAGAACCATTGACGTGGAAGGATATAACTTGCAAGTCAAGCCATGGAACGTTTGCAAGGATCTCACAGACGAAGGGATGAACCAGCTTTGAAGTTTCAGCTGGATCGGGCCCGAAGTGTAGGAGGAATCAAAGGCATGCAAAGTTTTTGGGATGCTGTGGAGGGGATTTGGGAGTGGGAAAGGTGCCAAAGATTGGGAGTTCGAGAGGACGAAGAGATTTTGGTGGAGCTACTTGAGAACGCTCAGGGCACAGAGAGCTTGCAGGAAACTTGGGGAGATTCACTCTAGACACTTGCCTGAAACATCAATAAAATAGCTTGTTATAAGTCATGAAGATCTAGAGTGAAAGTGCTTACAATATACTTACAATCAGAGTAATTAAAAGATGTTTTGACATTGACTCAAAATTAATCTAAAAGAATGGGAGCCGCTGGAATTACAAAATCGAAATGATATTTTAGATTATAACCTTTATTAGAGACCTGGCACGAATTTAGATTATGGCATTGTATAAAAACCATGGACGATCCATCCTTGTACATCAAATTCCAATGGCATCTTTCTCATCTCCAGTAGTGTCTTTTGCTCTTGTGTGCTGTTTGTTTGCGGACGTCGCCGTGGGTCTTCTCGTCCAGTATGGCTCTACCACTGTGGCGAATGGCAATTTTATCCCCTTGAGCAGCACTGACTCACCTCCCACAATTGATATCCAAGGCTTCCGCGGGAATGGCACCGCTCGTCTCTTTTCGGTGGTGATGGCGGACCAACGAGCACTGGTAGCTCCCTCCAAGGTCTATCCTTACATCAACTATTGGATTGCGAACATTCCAGCCGGCACCTCTGGTAAGTTCTTGAACGTTCTTCCATGATCCATGTTGAATCTGCTGCTTGACCAGGAGCTGTGACGGCCAGCATTCTCGAGCCTTACGTTGCTCCTTCCAACACCAGCCACAACATCCCATACCCGAGTCCTTCGAGCGCGAGGAACCACACGTATGATTTCGTGCTCGTCCCGCAAAGAAATCCCTTGGTGAAGCCCATGGACAGCCGCCTTGTTCTCTCTTTGGCCGATATCATCCGGCAGTACCACTGCGGAAGCCCTCTGGAGACTGTTTCCTTCACCACCTCTCTCCACTAAAAGTAAAAAAGCTTATAATATGAATCAATGAATGAAAAATCCCCTCTCTTTTTTTTTTCCATTCTCATTCTTCGCACCATATATCAAAGTACCTTTAAACAAAATCACTGTCAATCAAAAACATACATTGACAAATACACCAAAACTATACACCACCAAAAATTTAATGTAGATTTCAAGCATCGTAGAGCATTCGCGATGGATTGGCAACGGAGCAATTGATCCGGACCTCCCCCTCGCTCCCAGTGAGCACTTGGATCTTGCTGAGCTTGACGAACGACGCCGCAAACTGCGAGAAGAAGGAGCGCTGGCTGCGCGCGAACGCTTCCACCAGGCTGCTCGTGCGATTGTCCACGAACAGCTGCTGGTCCGAGGTGAGAAGCCCCTTCTTCCCCAACAGGTTCCTGTAGTACGCGTTGTCGAATCGGTTTGGAGTGGAGCTGTCGAGATCCGTGGAGTTTGAGGTCGCGAAGTCGTCGTCGCCTTCCCGGCAAGTCGCCGCCAGCTTTTGGGCGAAATTTATGTCCAAGTCGGGGTCCAGCGATGGACGCAAGCGGCCGGAGAACGTCGGGCAGTGGGCTTTGCCGACCGTGTGAGCACCTGTTTAGATTCAATGCATTAGAGCGGCTCTTTTAAACTCTCGAGCAAACTTACCTGACAGAGCGACGAGATCAGTAGCGTTCAACCCCTTGCTTTGGAAGCTCTCCAGCAGCTCAGAGGCGTTGAAAGACGGTGGAGGCAAGTTGTTGAGGGTCTCCTGCACACTTGCAAAGCTTTTGCTGTCTTTGCGACCGGTGGGGAGAGGGAACCAGGGGCCGCCAGCCTAAGTAGAGGAAATTACAAGCCAAGAGCATAAACAAGGACGTTGGAAAGCTTACCTCGTTGACAGCGTCTCGGGTGGCTAATGCGATTATATCTGCGCACGAGACAGTCCCGGGGCAAGCCTTTTCTAGACGTGCCTTGATGTCGGTGATCGCTTGCAAGGATTTTGGGCGTAGAGTTAGATTTGGAACTGCCTGCTGCTCGGACTCTTTGCCGTTGAGGCCCATGAGAAGAACAGACGCGTCACATCCCTGCAAGATTTTTGCATTTACCTGAATCAACTTGAAAACCAAACGAATAACTTGCCTGAACGAAGCAGTCGTGGAAAAATATTCGCAGCAGCCCGGCGACTTCACTCCTGTCCCGCCTTAAAAACGTTCTGATGCTGGAGCTGACAATGGATTCAGCCCGGGGACATGTCTTAGCATAGTAAGAATAATTCAATGCAGGGCCCTCGTCGCATAGAACTACAAGAGCGATTGTTAAAACGCACAAGCCTCGTGCAAGAAGCATCGTTACCTCTGAATGTTGCACCGAGTTAGACACACTTATAGGAAGAACGATATGATGAACAGCACAAACCTGGCTTTAGGAAATGTGACATCGAGCACTACCAACACCGCATCATGACAAACCCACTATGGTGCCTGCCACTTGGCCTCAATTTTTAACTGGAGAATGAGAAGAACGATTGCGGATTACCGTATTGGCTCTCTACTGTTATCATACAACTTCTCCGTGCAGGTGGCATCTAATGCACAGACGTTTTCGTTAGAGGACATACCGACAAGTTATGATCTAAAACACAGCAAATGCGTCTGTCGTAGACGTTCCTTTGACAAAGTCGTCGGTCAGTGTAAGTGGAGCATCTAGTCGCGGACAGCTCTGCAGTAAACCGGGTAAGGAAAAGTCTTTAATCCGAACTAGCTACCTTGCAACGAATAAGGGGCCAGCGCACCCCAGTGAAGAAAGGATGATGTTTGATCTCGTTCGCTCCCATTGAAGAGCCCAGCCTTTGCGAAGGGTCCTTTTGCAGCAGTCTATGGATTAGTTCTTTTGCTGAAGGACTGACCTGGTTGACATCAATGCCATCAGAATATCTAAATAAAAGGATAAGAAAATTACCACCTGGACAGTGCTAGGAAATTTTAATTCTTTGTGGAGAATGTTGTGAAAAGTTTTCTGTCTGTTTTTACCCCGGAACGGAGTCCATCCAACGAGCATCTCATACAAGAGAATTCCTGAGGAGAAGTTAAGCTTGAGCTTTATGCGAGACAGTCGGCTTACCAAGAGCCCACCAATCCACGGCACTGCTGTGGCCCGAACCATTTATCACTTCCTGCAAAACAGAAAGAAAGAAAAATGACAAACTTCTCATCTTTAAAAAATCTGCTTACAGGAGCAATGTATTCCTCCGTGCCAACGAAAGAATTTGATCTTGCAACAGGCTCCACGACAAACGTAGGGGGAACTGGTGCTTCTTTCTTTCTCTTCCGTCGTTCAGAGGCAGGCGGGGGTGGTCTTATAACCTGACACTAGAATCCAAGTTTAGTTCAGAACTTAATTTGGTAGAAGTCACCTGAGCTCTCGGGTTGCTCACAAATGAGAGATCGAAATCGGTGAGCAAAAGATGGCCATTTCTTTGAACAAGTATGTTCTCTGGTTTAAGGTCTCGGTAAACAACACCTGGCCATGAGATTGAATGTTTTTGTCAGCTGCACAGAACTAAGTTACCTCTGCAATGAAGATACTCAAGAGCAACAACCACTTCAGCTGCATAGAAACTTGAAGCCAAAGTTGCGTGTTAGCTCCAAACAATTCCAAATAGATGCGAAAGTAACAAAAGAACGTTACCAAACAGTAGGCTCGTTGAATGTTTTTGACGGTTGCCTGTCTAGAAGAAGAAAGAGTTCGCCTCCTGGACAGAAATCCGTGATCAAGCATACATGTGCCTCAGTCTACACTTCAGAATTATTTTACTATTTGATCATGTTAAAATCTAAAGTGTACCTCAAACGATCCATAGAGAGTTGGAAGAAAAGGGTGATCCATCATATCCAAAATGTCTCGTTCCATGAGTGTTCTATGAACCTATTTCACGGCAGGAGTTGATATATTCTGTCGATAGTTAATTTACCTTGTTTCGATTGAGCATACTCGACTTCTCCATTGCTTTCATAGCAAAAAATTGGCCGGTTTCTCGTAGCTCCACTAAATGAACACTACAAACCCCAAACAGAAATTAAGCTGGCACATTCAGTTTAAAACAGTACTCACCCTCCGGTATCACCAGAACCAAGAGCTTTGACTGGCCGAAAATGCTGTAAGTTCAAGAGTCCATCTTTTTTTACAACCTGTCAAAAGCAAATTAATGCCAGTGTTTCATTGAACAGCTTCCACCTTGTTTATGGCTGCCCAGGAAGTACTGTGAACCTTGTGAGGCTTGGGACACACTTTTTTTGAGTAATTCCTCCAAATCTCAAAGACATTCTACACACAGCGTTAAGCAGAACATGAGAGCTTGGTGATCATTCTTCTATCTAGCTTTACCTGATTTGCATCTGGGAGTTCACGAACTGCAGTATCCACGTTGCCAGCTGCAGATTGGATCTAAACCAGCAGCATAAGATCGCTGAACAAAATATCCTGCTTGTGATATGGCACTTACCACTTGAACGCCCTCGTGCTCGACCTTGTCAGGAAGCCCCTTGCGAACTTTGTCAAAATGCTGGCTTCCATCCAGCTGAACTCCTATAAAGTACTGCAACTCTCCCTGCATGCATATACAAGATTAGCGTATCTAGATGGTTTGCAGCAGAAACAAGGGCACCTTGTTGTCTCTCATGGGTTGCAAGTGAAACAAATTCCAGAAAGGCTTCCCTATTAAATTGACAAGAACATTAGGAGGAGAGTTCACGAACAGATAGTGCATACCCCGTTTGGTGTAGTTTAGAAGTTGAACAGTGATGCTTTTCTGATCCCGAATGGCATACCGAATTCTAGTCACCGTCTCCTGATTCGTATCGGGTCCTTGTAAGAATCTGTAATTTTTCAATCAAAATTTTACCACTCTTGTCAAGTATTGATCCTGACCTGCAGTTTTTTCCCAGAATTTCCTCTCGGCTGTACTCCGTTAGCTCCAAAAAGGAATCGGATGCAAAAATCTGCGGTTGTAATAATATTGCATTTGAATCGGCGCAAAACAGGCTGAGACCTTACGATTGGATTGTCGGGGAGACGGGGATCAGTGATGACAAAGTTCTTTTCGATACGCTCCAATGTGGTTGCCAGGTCGATGCCTCTTCGAATTTCCTTCTTTCTCTGAAAGTCCTCAGGAAAGTCGTCGACATTGTCGGCAGTCTTCAGCGTCAATTGATCGATCTCAGCGGAATCCTTCGCATGTCGCCTGGCATCATCTACTCAGTCGGTATCTCTGGCAGGAAAATAAAAACGAAATTTACCTCAAAAAGGACAGTAAGCTGGATGACCTGCGAGTTCTCTTGCTCGCCTTCACGGGACTAGCCTCAGGAACATCTGTAAGCTTGCCAGCACTAGCTCGTCGGTCGTGGTCGTTGGACTGGTCTCGCTTCGACGTCGAGAAAACCTCCACGAGCTCAGACACCGAGCTCACGACGCTGTCTTTCTGTCGAGCTTTTGAACATCAACAGCGACAGCAAAAATCTTTTTAAACAAAACCATATTTATGAAGCTGGAACATATAAGATAACTCACCATCGTACTTGATCAGAGACTCTGGCATTCCATTCGGACGAACAGCTTTGTCTTTAGATCCCTCTGTAAACTGGCTCACCTCAACCAGCATCCTACATGTGAAACTCAATCTGAGTATGGCGTGAATTGGAAAATAGAGGAAAACTGACCCGATGTACTTAAGAACCTTGCCATCTTCGTCTTTGATTGGAGCTATTGTCAAGAGATTCCAAAATGGCGTTCCATTCTTCTTGTAGTTTAGCAGCCGTCCACAGAAGCTCTTCCCTTGCTCCAAAGCCACTCGGATTTTGGAAACATCCACTGGATCCGTCTCGGTACCTTGCAAGAATCGACTGGAAAACAAAAATAAACCGTGAGATCAAACCAACAAGTAGCACTTCCACACCAGTTTCGGCCGATCACTTCCTTGGCAGTGTATCCCGTCATGCTGAAAAAACCAGCGCTCGCATAGAGAATTGGAAGCTCCGGGTCGGTCGCATCGCACACTACGAACGTCTGCTGGAACGATGAGAGCGCGTCCTTCAAATCTTCCGAGACTCTCGGAATGTGAGGCCGACCCCCAAGCGCGGCCTCGCTGCCAGCATCCGAGGAAGACTCCTCCGAAGTCCTCCTCCCAGAGTTTCTCCCGCTAGTCTTGGAGTCCCCGGAGTTATTCCGGACCCCCACGCCTTGGATCTTGCCCGAGCCAACATCGGCCTTGAGAACCAGCCCCCATTCCGCCGCACGCTCGGCGGCAGCGCGATCGTTCTGCGGCTTGGCGATGGAGGAAAAATCCCCTTGGAAATGGCCGCAAACTGGACTCTTGGAACCCGAGCCAGACGGCGATCTCCTCCACCCGGCATTCGTCGTCGCCAAATCCAGCGTGCTCTCCACAGACCTCCCGCCGAAAACCTGCTGTTCTTGGGCGCCATAGCGACCGCTTCGGCCGAAATTTCGAGAATCCGCCACGCCGATGGCGATGCCAGCATCCCTCTCGCCCGATCTTTGCTGCTGCGGCTGGAACACCTCCAGCGATCCCCTGGCGTCGCGCGGGAGCTGCGGCCGCGGGATTCCTAACATGTCAATGCCGCCGCGCTGCTGCGCTCCTTCATTCATCCGGCCACCATTCTTGCTCAAGGCTTCCATCGATGATTCGCCTTTTCTCTAGCGCTCTCTCCTAGCTCCTCCTCCTCCTACGACCTAAAATAAAGCTCTCCACTCCACTCCACTCCATTCCATGAGAGCATTGATTTTAAAAGCTGGGAGAAGCCAGGCCCGCCATACTTCGCTAACTAGCTACACACACTCTCTCTTCTAACAAACTATGACACATTTTAGCTAAACTAGGCATGGCCTCTGTTTGGTAGCTTTCGTCTCCTACATTTATATGTCAGTGCTTCCAGATGCGATCTTTGTTACTCATCTTGTTCATATCAAAACCATTGTTTTCGCGAAAAATGTTGAGATACATTAGATAACAATGGCATGATCACCTCTCTCGAGGAGGGCCAAAACATCACAGTGATTTGGGAAAGGCCACGACAAAAGATACTAGCAGCTTTATTTTCCCTTCCCCGGAAAACAATATAAAAAACCACTGCATGGAAGGACGTTATCAAAATCTCAATCTCTCAAACCAGGCTTTTTTTATTTCTTTTTTTTGGTGTGTGTCAAGCAACCAAAAGCAAGTAGCACGCCATTTTGGTTTTTTGCTTCCGGCCATGTCAGGGAGGGCGCAGGACATACCATACGGGTGAAGCGATAAGATATTCCTCGTTTCTATGTGATCAAGGAAAGTCTACGTGGCACCTTTTTAGGTTACCTTTTAGGTCTTTGACCAAGTCAACTTCTGGGCCTTTATTTTTTTCCTCACGCAAGCTTCTTATGCACGCTTGCAGTAGGGTCTAAAGCGGGCTCTGACAAGAAGTCAACATTTGGCGTGGACTGGATAAGGTCAATGTTTCTAAAGTCCCTTGCGATGCTGCTCCATGGCGGCCACTGCAAAGCTCTCGTCTTTGAGCCACCATCCGTCCACCAGGCTCGACTCGTTCACCTGGTCGAGCTTCTTCACGATCCAGCAGCTGGAATTCGCGCTGCCCTCCACGGCCAGGCCGTGGAAATGGTTGAGCCTGGCGATGGAGGCTCGCAGGATCTCGCCGTTCCACTCGGGCTCCACAGTCCGGTGGATGGACGCGACGAGCACCTTGCGCGGGTTGGCGATCCACTTCCTGTGCCCCTCCACGCCGTGGCAAGTCTCGGCCCTTTGCTCGTCCCCGCAAGTCGGGTACCGCAGCCTGAAACGCATCCTCTCCACGGCCCACTCGTCCTCCGCGCTCGTTTCCTTGCAGTAAGTCCTGCTCCACACCAAGTTTGCTAGAGATATCCAGGGAGAACTCTCATAGCTCCTGAGCAAAGCTGCCATCGATGTGGAATTTACGAGCTGGAGGTACTCGTCCAAGTCCCAGAAGAATGCCCAGGTCGCTAGAAACCGGCTTCGCTGGAGGCAATCGTTGATCACAAGCTGGTGACCGTCACCAGCAGACTCGAACAGTACCAATTCTCTCATGTCTATCACTGTGAGAAACTTCTTCTCCATCAGCGGCTGGAAGACTTCCAGCAGCCTCGAATCGATCCCACCGGCGTCGTAGAAGAAGTAGTGGACGTGACTCTCGCTCCACAGGCCTTGGTGATACATGAGCCACTCTTTCACGTACTTGGCCGATACGTTCTTGCTCGGTGTCAGCAGAGGCGAGCAGTAGGCATAGTCGAATCGAAACGGCCCTTCGAATTGGATCGAGGAGATCTCTTCCGGAAGCTCTTGAAAAACAGGCACGTAACTTTGCTCGATGATCCCTGAGTGATCCACAAGAGGTGGCGGTGACGAGTTTCTTGTCATGTTGAGCACTAGAAACCCGCCTTCTCCATTTGCCCCTACTGGCTCCTCGAACGAGCATTTCACCACGCCCACATCGTAGAAGGTCTTCTCCGTGTGGCTTTCATTCACGTACCCCAGCCAAGAGTTCCCCCAAATCACCGAAGAATCGTTGGAAGCCGCCAGAGCAGCCGCGACAGAACTGGATCCAGCCTTTGGAACCCAAGCACAAGACTGCAATGGATTACCGGCAAAGCCTCTCAGTTGGATAGAAACCAATCCCACCGCGGTGAATTCTTCCAGAGAAAATCTTGCCACACTGGAGAGGACAAAGGCGTGAAGCGTCTCTCCAATCCGTCGAAAGCCCCGTTCCCTTGCTAAATCCCGCCGCTCATCGCAAGGCTCCTTGCGATTAGCCGCGACCACACCACCAGGAGTCCCATCCCTAATCTTCTCGAGCTCCTCCACAACCTCGTGGATGAGATCGGCAGTAAGCTGGCCGTCTTCCACCTCCCAGAACTTCGAGAAGGACGAATTCCGGGCCAAATTTCCTCCAAACCTGTGAAGATCCTTCCTGTGCGCTGCCAAATCCGAGGTCGCCGGAGAGATTCTGCTGTACCAGAGGCCGATCCAGAGAAGAGTGACGAGCAGCACGATCCAAATGCGGCAGATCATGGCCTTGTGGAAGGCCGCCATCGCCGCCTGGCATCGCCTATAGAAGCCCTACTCTGGCATTTTTCCCGCTCCAACTTGACGGAATCAACGGCAGCCTCGACTTAGCCGTTCGATTCGATCCGATGGCTGTGCTGGCGCCCATGCCTTTGTGATCGACCAGAATCATGATCTTGGAATGACGTGCCGTGCTCCAAAAACCAATGTTTTTTTTATGTCGATGAGAAAGTTCTTTCCTTTTTAAGTTCAATTCTGAGAGACCCCACCACCACAGCTACCCACACAAGATTAGACAGTGCCTCTCCTCTATAGCCAATTTGCATTGAATTTGTAAAGAGTTTAAAATATTGTAGGAATTTAATGTTTCAACATGAAAAAGTTCTCCCAACAAAACTTAAGAGAAATTAGTGTTAAAGAATTTCTTGGATTGCAAAGTGTTTTAAGGACAACAATGATAAAGGAAATTAATTTGCATATATTTTATTGTCTTTCAGTTGAGCATTATTAACATTAAAATGTTCTTTATGTATCTTTTAATATCAACAATGTTTATAGCCACTAAGTTCTCTAAGCATTGGTAAATGCAATTGAAGTTAAAATATTTTTAAAATAAGTGTTATTTTAATTAAATAAAATATTTTATTAACTTTTTATATTTAATTATTTATTAAGTTGTGAAATATACTTCTATTGTACCCACACATTTTACCAAAATATAATGCCAAAATATAATGTGATCCAGATAACAAAAAATTTGTAAATAAATATACTAAATTTAAATAATTATATTAACAACTACTATTAAATTTTAGTTAATAATATAAAATATTAAATATGAAATATTTTATATGAAATTAAATGATCACAACTAAAATATATAAAAAAAATTTTATGACTCATTTCCTAGAAGAAACATTTAATAAAATTCTTTACTTTACTACAATGTTACTCATATAAAATATTAACTAATAATAACAACATCATCAATTTTAAATTCAAATATTTTAAATAATGTTATATTAAAACCTTGTATGGACTTTATACTTTGTCATTTATTTCATAAATTCACATGAGATTCAAATGTATAAGATATTGAATTCATAAGATAGTAAATATGGATATTAAGTATTGATATTTAAATATGTAAGAAATTATTGATTTTGTAAGGTTTATAAATACATACACACACACACACACATATTCATACATACATATATATATATATATATATATATATATATATATATATATATATATATATATATATATATATATATATATATATATATATATATATATATATATATATATATATATATATGTGTATATATATATATATATGTATATATGTATGTGTGTATATATATATATGTGTATATATATATATATATATATATATATATATATATATATATATATATATATGTATGTATATATATATATGTATGTATATATATGTATGTATGTATATATATATATATGTATGTATATATATGTATGTATGTATGTATATATATATATGTATATGTATATATATATGTATATGTATATGTATATGTATATGTATATGTATATGTATATGTATATGTATATGTATATGTATATGTATATATATATGTATATATATATATATGTATATGTATATATATATATATAGATATAGATATAGATATAGATATAGATAGATAGATAGATAGATAGATAGATAGATAGATGAATAGATAGTAAGTGTTAATCTTTTAATTTACCATCTAACCCTTTTTTTTTTACCTTTTACTTTTTCCTAAGAATTTTTTTTATTTCTCTAACTTAACTGTAGTAGATGTGGTTTCTACCATTTATTCTATGGTGATTTACCATAGGATAACCATGAAGCCGAACCTAAACCTTCTATCTGCCACATGTCATATACCACATATCAAAAAAACAATGGTGCGGAACCCAAGTTTCAAGGCATTGGGCCATTGAATGAAGGTCCAAAGCTAAACTCCTAAGTATGAAGCTAAAGAATGAAGGAACTAAAACACGGAATGTCTCCTGAGCATACAACCCAAAGAGCCAAAGGATAGGAATATACAACAACTTGGAACAATCCTAAAGCATTTAGCATCTTAATGCCAAAATTGGCACACAAAACGGAGCCAAATGGAGTTTGGCATTATTTCAGTATACCGGTGGCCTAATGCGAGGATATGGATACTCCACCAGCTAGTATGGTATGGAACTTGGGTTTAGACCCAAGCTGGATGTCACAAATGTGATTTTAGGTATCAAAAATTACTTGTCAGCTAGTACTTTCAGATATTCTTTCCTTACTGCCATGACAGTAAGAAACCAGTATTGTTGATTCCCTTCCCTTTATCAGTCCCTCTTGTTCCTCAAAGGAGGAGGGGGGGGGGTTCCAAATGTATAGTAAGAATAATGGGTAGGTCAAGAATGGCTGACGAACTTAAGGTGTAATTTAGCTCTTGCTTGTGTGCTTGTCTTTGTTTTGCATCCAACTTGGATTTAAGCCCAAATTCCATACCACGCTAGTTGGTGAAGTACCCATATCCTTACATTAGGCTACCGGTATGCTAAAATAACACCAAATTCTGTTTGGCTCTGTTTTGCATGCTAGTCCTGGCATTGGGATGCTAAATGCTAGGACTGTTCCAAGCCACTCTGTACTACTATTCCTTCACTCCTTGTGCTGTATGCTTAAGAGTCACTCCATGCTCTAGTTCTTTTACTTCTTGGCTTCAAGTTTAGGAGTTTGGTGTAAGCAATCATGAGAAACGATCCATAGGGTTTAAATATAGAGGGAAAAGGCCCATGAACAAAAATGCACTCCCTTTTTCCAATCAGTTAAAGGTCTTGTTAAACGTCCTTAGGTTTGAATAGTATTGGGTTGGGTGACCTCCCAAGAAGTTCAAATTAAGAAGTTTACATTTGGTATCAAAAAGGTTTTGGGGAATCACATTATATGTTGATTGACATTTGGCAGGTCCAATTTGCTCCCAACTGGGCTTGACCTAAGGGGTAAGGTGTCAGAAAAGCAAGGCTCTCGGGAGAGCTGTGGCTATTAGTTTCTTATAAGCTCTTGAGTTTAGACTTCCTAGGAGGTTACCCAACCCATGGTATCAAAGAGGTTTCGGGGAATCACATCATATGTTAATTGACATTTGGCAGGTTCAATTTGCTCCCAACTAGGCTCGACCTAAGGGGTAGGGTGTCAAAAAAGCGAGGCTCTCGGGAGAGCTGTGGCTATTAGTTTCCTATAATCTCTTGAGTTTAGACTTCCTGAGAGGTCACCCAACCTAATACTATTCAAACACAATGACGCTTAACCCCAAATATCTCAAGACCCTTAACCGATTGGAAAAGAGGGTGCACTTTTATTCATGGGCCCTTTCCCTCTATATTTGAACCCTTATGAATCGTCCCTTGAGTCGTTCCCTTTGGTTGCTTATATTTCCTTTCACAAGGGCGTGAACTTGCAAGGAAATATGGTGGATTGTAAGCAATCAAAGGGAATGACTTGAGAGATGATCTATGGGGTTCAAATATAGAGGGAAAGGGTCCCATAAACAAGAGTGCACCCCTTTTTATAATTAATTAAGCTTCTTTATGTTTGAATAGTATTAGGCTGGATTACCTCCCAAGAAGTCCAAATTAAGGAGTTTACATTTGGCTCCATTCATTTAGTGGCCCAAAGCTTTAAAACTTGAATTCCACATATAGAGGGTTTAAGTTTTTCTTTGTGATTATTTTATGGTAAAACACCATAGAATAAAGGGTCATGTGCTACACTAAATGTAGAACAAGGACAGACATGCAAGGAGAAGTTAGACTATACCTCAAGTTGGTCGGCCATACCCAACTTACCCATTATCCCTACTATACATTTGGAACCCCCCATTGAGAGAGAGAGAGGGAATATTTTGGTCCTTAGAATATTCCCTATCTTCCTATAAAATAAAAATGATGAAAGTGGAGTGATATGGTGGAGCGCCGAGATGGTGGTGGCACTCTGAAAAGGTGGTTATCTATAACCGTTGGCCCATGGAGTAAGCATTGACCTCTCGGAGCAGCCGGTAACCAATAACTAGTAACCAATAACTAGAGACCTATAATGGTAACCACCTACTCTCGCTCCTACTCATGCACCTGCTCCAGCACCAATATGGTGGAGTGATATGGTGGAGCACTGAGATGGTGGTGGCACTTTGAGAAGTGGTAGGCCAATGGACTAATGTGTCAGACTGAGGAAGACAGCAATTGAAAAGGATGGCACAGTCGTTAGGTTGCCAATAAAGAGAGGTGGCATGTGTCCACCGAGTGCTGGAGCAAAAGAAAGTGGCTTCAGCTTCTATTGCCTCACCTAAAGATCCACCTAGGTGCTTTGAGTGAACAGGTTCACCTGGTTGGAAGAAAGGCGCTCCAGAAAAGCTAGTGCGTCGTCGACAAATGGTCGTAAGGATATCTTGGAAACAGCATATCCAAATGAGGTGGTGTCTTTTGCTGCTGGTGCGCGTATGTGTGTCCATAGTATGGTGTAATTGTGACCTCAAACAAAGATGTGAATGATGGTGAAAGAATGAAAGATGCAAGATGGGCATCCAGAGATAAGTGCGGGCAACGCTGTTGGAAGTGATTGGTGGTGGAACTGTGAGTGTAGGTGATATGGAATGGGTGAGGGGAATGTGTGGGGTGTAGTAATGGTAAGGGAAGGGCCAAAGGACTTGGAACATAGACCGAGCCAAGTAAGGAACCTCCATACAAACGGCAATGTAGTTTAAGCATGAAATCCAAGGCATTGGCCATGGTCCAATGGGGAAACACCCTCTAAAAGTAAGAAAAGGAGTCATGAAAGTAAAGTGAAAGAAAAGAAAAAAAAGAAAAAGAAAAAGAAGAGAAGAGGAACTCCTCACCAGATGAAGCGTTTGAGGTGAGAGTGGTTGTGAGCGTGTGGGAGCTCACATCCATCAGCATCAATTAGCACATATGCTCCACCTCCAATGTGTTGCTAGACAAAGTAAGGGCCGGTCCAG